GGAAAAAATGGGGTTTAACGTACACTCGACATAAACTAGGTCATTTCAGGACTAACATATAATTCAATTTTATTTCAATGATTCGCGTGCACGTAAGGGTTTTTAGCAGTGGGAGGACCCGGAGAAAACCCATGAGGTTGGACAGGCGTCCCTACAACCTGGGAATCAAAACGATGCCAGTTGACGCAATGACAGACCTTATGATATAGCGCACACACGCTAACCATTTGGCCCACACCCCTCTTAGTTAAAAATAACATTTGTTTAGAGTAAGTTAGGTTATAGAGAGATAAATAATGGGTATTATAAGTTATGGAGTTTAAACTGTTAGAATTTAACAATTGATTAATGATAACAAATTCTGATTTACATCTATACATGTATTACCGTAGAAACTCTACAAGGACCAAGTTTTACATGCTTACCGGGTTCTATAAACACTGTCCAGTCGTTCAGAGCAATAAATGAAATGAAGTGGGGTTTAACATCCTACTGTCGGGCATACGCCATACAGTGTGCTACGAGGGAAATTTTGCCCGGGCAGCGGCACTATGACCTACTCTTACATCGAATTCCAACTGCCAAGGGATCTTTTACGTGCAATGTATACACAGGTCCTCGGTTTTTTCGTATCATCCGAACGACTAGACAGCTGTCCTTGTCAGGCCCTCCATCCTGCATCACTGACAAGAGGAAACCACGCCGGAAAATGCCGATGAACTTTCTCGTGCAATGCAGGGATCGAACACGCGACGTCAAGGTTAGCGAGCCAGAGTGTTACCAACTTAGCCACTGTGGCTCCTCAGAGCAATAAACACTAAGATCTGACGAAAAGAAACATGTTGTTGCTGCCTTGGTGGATTTCCGCATTTCATAATTTACAGACGTCCATTAAACCCAGTCAACAGTTCCTCGTGCTGTAGAACTATTATATTCGTGTTTCTGTGAAATTGATTGGTAGGAGAAAAACGTGTAACAACGGAATATTAAACCTGTTGATTTTTATCAGCTTATTTAAATATTGAGGAAATATTCTCTCTTACTCATAACCTAGATAAAATAGTTTTAACATGGTCGATTTATTCTGAATTAAATTCTTTCAATTCAATAATTTAAAGTCTAGGAAATGAAAGGATGTCGGCACCAACTGGGCTAATGAAGACAGTATACGTCATACAGTGTGTTAGCAATGAAATTATGTCCTTATTTTGATTTCCAATTGTCAATTGGTCTTTACCTTACCACCAATAGTAATCATGACACCTTACTATCAATAGTATTCAGGACACCTTGCCAGGTTATCCGTCCTACGTCACTAACATGAGGGCACTAGGCTTTTTTAGTTTTTTGGTGGGGTTGGATGATCTAGTGGTATAAAACCATCCTGGTGGGGTTGGATGGTCTAGTGGTATAAAACCATCCTGGTGGATGATGTACTGGTATAAAACCATCCTGGTGGATGATGTACTGGTATAAAACCATCCTGGTGGGGTGGATGGTCTACTGGTATAAAACCATCCTGGTGGATGATGTACTGGTATAAAACCATCCTGGTGGATGATGTACTGGTATAAAACCATCCTGGTGGGGTGGATGGTCTAGTGGTATAAAACCATCCTGGTATATATTCTCCCAGTTTAAATTCAGTCAGTTTAAAGAGAGGCTCATCAAAATATTGTGTCCAATACTTATATGTGATACTGGCTTGTTTATGTTGTTTATACTTTTGTTTCTGTCCGTCATCCATTTTGGAATACAATACTTCCAGCTGAAGTACACTGTTCAAATTATGCCTATATGTTGAGGTAGACTGTTCAAACTCTGCCTTGATGTTTGTTAGTGAATGGCATTACTAATACTGAGTTCGGTAACGGACATTTTCTGCCTGGACAAAACAGAGATAATCAGTTTGATCTCTAGATGTTTCACAAATTGATAGATGTGTAAGTTATCAACGAGTGTCATCTATTTATTTTTGGGTTGAGGCTGGGGGACATGAGCCTTACTTGTACCATTTCTATGTGTTTAAGATTTATTCTGTAAAACTTGTATTTATCTTGGTTATAAATAGATGTGGCAAGGATCTGGTAAGAAAAGAGGTGGAGTAGGTTTTTTATAATGTCCACCGTTAGTTATTTACTCTTTGATGTGACCGCCCTATACCTTTTATACGTATATACACAGGTAAAGGTCGAGTTACTATTTACCTGTACATTGTTATTATATATCTCACGTCATAGCTTGATAGAGGTATATATAGGTATCAAGGGGTAGGGGGTATAGATTGGCTATAAATGGATTAGACTCCTGGAGAAACGTGTTAATTATTATATCTGTCCAATGTGCGGTAGAAGAGTTTTGAGCAGATTACAGCTTTTCTGCCAACTCCTCGTCCATTCCATTCAACTGTCTGGGGTTCTTTTACGTGCAAGCCAATATGTACATGGGTGCACCTCGATTTTGGGTCCGTTTCGCAGGAGTAGGCCCATTTCCTTGCCAGACCCAGCATGTGCCAACCCTGACAGGTGAAAGTTCATCTAAACCCACGTTGGGATTCGCGCCAATTCCCTACCCCAGTTCCCTACCACAATACTACCAGGGCCCACCCTACCCTAGTTCCCTACCACCAAACTACCGGGGGCTATATTCCCTACCCCAGCTCCCTACCACTAGACTACCGGGGCCCACCCTACCCTAGTTCCCTACCACTAGACTACCGGGGGCTATATTCCCTACCCCAGTTCCCTACTCCTATACTACCAGGGCTCACACTACCCCAGTTCCCTACCACTAGACTACCAGGTCTCACCCTACCCCAGTTCCCTACCACTAGACTACCGGGGCCCACCCTTACCCAGTTCCCTACCACTAGACTACCGGGGTCCACCCTACCCTATCCTAGTTCCCTACCACTAGACTACCGGGGTCCATCCTACCCCAGTTCTACATACGCAGAGTCTTAAACAAAAAAAACCCTGGCAGTTTGAATTCCAAAAGGCGGAACCACGAAATTTCCTCCATATCACACTACATTGTGTATGCCCGTCCTCACTCAATACGTTTAAATCATTCACCTCCAAATCTATTAGTAATGTTTTAGTGAGGTAATTATCTACAATTAAAATAATTAAAACATCAATACGAGATTAAAAGAGATAAATTAATAGGTGTGGTATATTACTATCAGCCCGGTTAGTTATCATGATAAATATGACATCATAGGTGTGGTATATTGGTATATTAAGTCATATGATATATGACCAGTTATTGATTAGAGTCTGGTTCATCATGATTAATTTACCTGTGATTAATCTAAGATTAAGTTTATATGGCTGCGTCATATAGACTAACCATTACTAATGGTACCTGTCTGGGCATGAACCTACCTCAAACATTGTGCTGCATTTAATGAATATGTTTTATTTCTTGGCAGTATAGCTCTGGCGTTGATGTAAGCACAAGCCACTGTGCGCTCCTCCGTTTTTCGTCCCATCCAAACAACTTGACATATTTTTGTTGTCAGCCGCAAAAGCACTATATACCCCTGACAAGTTGGAACGGGGCTTGTAAAATAACAAGATTCGACTGGACCTACGTCTGGGTGCAAAACCTGGGGCATTCTAGTCTGCCGTGCTATCAGACAATTACATAAGAGAATTCTTTACAGCTGGAATTTGACGAAGGGTTTGCGGATACGCCACTGCCTGCTGGGCATGATTCTCCTCTCTAGTATTGTACACATAGTGGACCCAATCACAAGCCTTGTCTTTCCTTGTTTATAGTAATCATAGTGAAAGATATAAAAATAGTCCTCCCCACCTTCATGTTCATGTTACCAGGTAACCTAATCCACCTGTTGATCATTTACTAATCTCTTAATCTATCAAGGTGTTAAACTCTGATATAAAATAAAACCCACTTACAACCTCCTCTAACGGGTTTTAAAAAGATCCAATTTCCCCCCTTTCTGATGGATGGCGTATTTCGCGGGAACTTTTTTGATATTTCTCTGACGGCACTTTGATCGCATTCTCACCTTTCACCGAGATGAACATCATTTGTACATTGAGCGACAAAACCAAGGAAATTCTCATAAATTTAAGACTACATAATAAACATGGGAGTGCACTGACGTCTCTTCCAATGTCAATGTATCTGTCAAGGGCACTACCAATTTGAACACGGTTGGATAGCTGAATGGTTAGCACGTGCGCGCTGTATCATACGGTCTGTCATTGAGTAAACTGGTGTGGTTTCGATTCCCCGGTTGTACGTACGGTGACAAGGAGTGGAGTCGTCTGTCCAATCTCTCCGGGTCCTCCGGTTTCCTCCCACTGCTAAAGATCCCTACGCGCAAGCGAATTATTGAAATAAAATTGAACTATGTAACTATGTGTTAGTCCCGAAATGACCTAGTGTGTGCGAGTGGACGTTAAACCTCATTTCTCTCTCTCTCTTTTTTTTTGGGGGGGGGGGGGCATATTATCCGAATGACTAGACGTAGTTCTATTTTCACCCTCGAACTGAATCTACATTCAGTATTATCCCCAAAGTGACTGAATAATTAAAAACATTCAAGGGAGGGAGGGGGGATCATTAGATTTACTGAATAAATAAACGCAACATCACGTCTTGCGATCAGTCTTTATTTTTTATTTTTCATTCAAATTTACATTTTTATATATATCAGCTGTGGTTTACGATAAAAACTAAAATTGAAAAAAAAAACCTAAAACGAAAAATCTGACTTGATAAAACTTGATTATATATAATGCAGGTGACGAATCATCAAAATTGATTGATATATAAAAAAAAAACTCATTTGCACCAATTGCACGGAATGTCAGAGTGTATGACCAATACTAAACAAACAAGTCTCTACTTTCAATTTTATAAACTCGCTCTACCTTGTCAGTGATGGGGAAACAGATTAAATATGTCATTTGCGCATGCTCACCAGGTGACCCTTCGATAAAATTTAGAAAGATGATAGTATGACTGACTGCCGACTACATTTTGTGTTTTAGGTTAAAATGGGGTCCCGAAGAGACGCCTCGGCACTCGAGCATTGTGTCACAGAGATTAAAACCAAAAAGGTAAGTTCTGTTTTAATTAATCTTTCTTTGATCTCACCGATTTACCTGTGAGGTACAACCAGGTGTCTTGATAATCAGACGACACCATTTTTAAAAGTCGTGTATCGAGTTTTACCACACATCGTAAACCAAATGTATTTGGTTTCTGTTCATTTAATTGTCCTCTTTCCAAACACGTCGTCCTTGATTGATGAGGAAATGGAATTATCCAATGAATTATTAGTGTGTACTGTAAGGAGTTATAGTGCACAGTAAAGGTACTACTATGTAATATTGACCTATATTTACCTGTTATAAATCAGTGTAGTCTATATTGACATATGTATACGGTGTAGCCTATCATGGGACCAGGGATGGACTTTTTTTGACCACTTATATTATAGGTCTAGTAGATCAAATAGCTTCACTCACTGTTCAACACTTTCACCAACTTTCATACAACCAAATATTTTAAACTTCAACATTAAAACTCTGGAATTTGAAACATGATAAATATTTAATTTTTGAAATACTCCTCATAACATTTTGGCCTCAATCATTACAATCTATTTTATAACATGTTTCACCACTTTGACTACCACAAAGTGAATGAGAAAATAACAATCAATTCGTGTATATACAGTGTCAAAAGTCTTACAGAGATTCTTGTATGTCTTAGGTGAACATATATACCTTGCATTGGACAGAATGTATTGTTTTAACAATAAAAACAGTAAGTGAAGGTCACAAACCCCACATGAATAGATCCCCCCCCCCTACAGGTCACACACACAAGTAACATAACACATGAACATTGCAAGCTATAAATAACAATAGTACAAATGTACTATCATTGTCTGCGATATCACTTCGATGGAAGCGGACGTTAAATAAAGCTATTTCACACACAATGCACTATTAAATCTAGTGAATGGATGCAGGATGCAGGAGCTAGCTGTAAACATCCACTACACTGTGCAGTGATAAAGCTGTCACTAGCCAGCCAGTCAGTGACCATAATGGCTGCGATTGTGATCCGAGATAATACAGACTATGGAAACTGGTCTTTTTCATTCATAAACTACTTTCACACAATTTGTTTATAGTCCATTGGAATCTGTTCACCAATTGATTCTAACACAAGATTAGGGAACGAGGCTTCATCTCTCATCAACACCTATATGTACTCCCTTCTGAATTACACCTACGCCCTGTTTACACCACCAGACAAGGAATAGGGTTACCATGTCTAACCTCACGGATTTTCACTGGGCCCTCTGGTTTCTTCACACTGCTAAGACCCGTACGCGCAATTGAATTATTGAAATAAAATTGAACCATCTGTTTGTCCCGAAATGACCTGGTTTGTGTTGAGTGGATGTTAAAGCCAACCCCTTTTTTTTTTTTTCTCTCTCTCTCTGGCCCGATAGGTGCTGACGGTTGGTGCGGACGTGCCATAAAACCACATTTCATTTCATTTTGTCAAGGGATCTTTTACATGCATGGCCGAATGGTTAGCACGTGCATGCTGTATCATAAAGCCTGTCATTGAGTCAACTGGCGTGGTTTCGAATTCCTGGTTGTACGTGACAAGGAGTAGGGTCGCCTGTCCAACCTCGTGGGTTTTCTCCGGGTCCTCCGATTTCCTCCCACTGCTAAAGACCCCTCCACGCAAGCGAATTATTGAAATAAAATTAAACCATGTTAGTCCCGAAATGACCTAGTTTGTGTCAACTGGACGTTAAACCCCATTTCTCTCTCTCTCTTTACATGCATGCAATGTGTACATGGGACCTCTTTTTTTTTTTTCATCCGAACAATTATACATTGTCCCTAACCAGGCTATTTGTCCTTCACCACTGACAAGGGGGAATCACGCCGGAAAATCCCGATAAACTTTCTGAGCCGTCGCAGGGATCAAACACGGGACTACCTTGTCATGCCGCACTAACATGGACCAAAACCAGAAAACGAAATCTATAAAGAAACGTAACACATATTAAGACATAAGGATGAACGAATCTGCTGTGGAGAGAATTATCCCCCGACATTGTAAACAATAGGTTTTATATAATGATATATTGAGGGTGTTATAAATCTGTCAAGGATTTGAGTTAAACTGGTTATTTATTTATATCAGTTTTATTATCAATGTAAAACTCCATACAACAACTTATCATATAAATGTATGCTATCTCTTACATGTACCAGTACATGTAGGTAGGAATGAGTCATTTATTGCTATATTCACTATAAACAACCATTCTTCCAAATATTCAATCATTAACAGTTGGTCATCACCTATTAACAGTTGTTGACATTTATATGAAATGAAATGAAACGTCCTACTGTTCTTCTTCGAACTGCGATAATGAAGACGGGCATACGCCATACAGTGTGCTTTGAGGGAAATTTTGCCCCGACAGCGGCACTAAGGCCTACTCTTATATCAAATTCATTTCATATGACTGGTGGGCATGATTGGTTGCATGGTAAACCGTCATTTTAAAATAACATGGATGGTGGGCATTTTTTGTTGACTGGCAAACCTTTATTTTTAAATAACATGGATGGTGGGCATGTTTGTTGACTGGCAACCTTAATTTTTAAATAACATGGCTGGTGGGCATGTTTTGTTGCGTGGCAAACCTTTATTTTAAAATAACATGGCTGGTGGGCATGTTTTGTTGACTGGCAACCTTTATTTTTGTAATATCACGACTGTAGTAATTAATTACATTTTATTGCCATTTTCGTGCATCTTCATTAAAATTGTGCAGGTTGTTCATCATTGTCATTGTCACGCTCATCATTCTTCAGTTAAATATACTGTTTGATGACGACAGACAGTTTGTAAGAGTATTGTAAAAGTTGCGAACTCCCAACTAATACTTCCCTGCTATGTTTATATCATGGGTATTGTTTTGTTGTGTAACACAGCGCCTGTTGAATACAAATATAAACCGTACAAGGATTTAAATTCACGACATTCCTTTTAAAAGTTGATTTAAATATATATTGAGGTGAGCAATGTAGAAGTTTGTTTTATTTAGCAAGAGATTATCATGTGTTCCTCTGTTAAATGTAGTTTGCACTGATAGTTATAAAGTAGGGCAAGAAGGAAGATTACCTTATAAAGAGATAGAACAAATGGGATATCTCACAGAATTTATGTGATAAATAAGACGGGTATCAGAAAGCATATCCAGTCGTTTCATTAACACCATTCACTTGTTCTGATGATATATATACGGTTGATCTGGTTGATGATATATATATGGTTGATCTGGTTGATGATGTATACGGTTGATCTGATGATATATATATTATTAATACTTCCTTTTATTTTATTTTCCTTCCTTTTGAAAGTTCTCACTTTAATATTCAATGATAAGGACTGTACCCTTTGCGCAGTGGTGAATTTTACCATCCAAATCTGGTCAAAACTATTCAGTTGGTTAATTTTCTATTACTGACAGAAGACTAGCTACTGTTATTGTCACTGACAGAAGACTAGCTACTGTTATTATTACTGACAGAAGACTAGCTACTGTTATTGTCACTGACAGAAGACTAGCTACTGTTATTATTACTGACAGAAGACTAGCTACATCTTATTACTGACAGAAGACTAGCTACAGTTATTACTACTGATGTTAATTGATGTTGAAATACACAGGTCCTCATTCTATGGAATATGGAGAATGTTTTGACTTGGCCTCACTATTCATTATCAAGTAATTATATTATACTGTATTGTGTCCTGTGTATGAAACATGTCCTGTAACATGTCCTGTGTATGATACATGTCCTGTGTATGATACATGTCCTGTGTATGAAACATGTCCTGTGTATGAAACATGTCCTGTGTATGATACATGTCCTGTGTATGATACATGTCCTGTGTATGAAACATGTCCTGTGTATGATACATGTCCTGTGTATGAAACATGTCCTGTGTATGAAACATGTCCTGTGTATGATACATGTCCTGTGTATGATACATATCCTTTGTATGATACATATCCTGTAATGTGTCCTGCGTATATTACATGTCCTGTATTGTGTCTTGTGTATGAGACCATTGTGAATGTAGGATGTTTCATTGCCTCATCTGCCGTTGTTTAACCTGGTTTATTTTTATCGTGGTGTTACATTTGATTACATTGAATGTTGTGTTTGTTTATAACGATGGTGTGAATTTAAACATTTCTGTGTTACATGGTAATGTTTGCTAAGAGTTATCATATAAACATTTATATCATTGTAGTAATCTATATTACATGTTTATATCAATGTACCTATATGTAAAACATATCATATATTTATACCAATATATCTACGTACAATAAGTCGCAGGTTCTGAATGTAAATAGTTTGTTATTGATAATTTATGATGTTAGATTGTGTAAGCTGATACCCAACAACAGATGGTGATGAGGAGAATTATACATTTATATATTAGTCATGTTTTATATTCATAATTAATATCACATAACATTTGTAGTAAATCTATATCACATCACAGGTTACATAATATATTACTGTACCTATATTATAGATCACTATCTTTTTGTTTTAATAATATCCTAACCACTGCAGACCATGGTGCCTCAATGAACAGGAGGTCCCAGGATTAATCTAGGTGTTGGCCAAGATTTTATAGCTTTGTTTCCCCTTGTTGGTGGTGCAGGACGAAGGTCCAGGAAGGAAACGGTGGAATGAAAAACCAAGGTACTGTGTACATATTGACCTTGATAAAGAGTGTGTTGAAACACCACTGTCAAGGCAAAATGTCCCCCATAGCATATAATTGTCTTCGTTAGTCCAGTTGGTGTAGGACGTTCAACCCCATTTCATTTCATCACATCTACTTGTTTTACCTTTTGTCTACTTGTTTAACAAGCTGATTGACTGTTATACTGAGTCTTGTTTTACCTTTTGTCCACCTGTTTAACAAGCTGATTTACTGTTACATTGAGTCTCGTTTTACCTTTTGTCGACCTGTTTAACAAGCTGATTGACTGTTATATTGAGTCTTGTTTTACCTACCTGTTTAATGAGCTGGTTGACTGTTATATTGAGTATATTGAGTCTTGTTTTACCTTTTGTCTACCTGTTTAACGAGCCGATTGACTGTTATATTGAGTCTGTTTTACCTTTAGTCTACCTGTTTAACGAGCTGATTGACTGTTATATTGAGTCTTGTTTTTATAAAGGAAATAAAATTAAGTACATGTTAACAATGTGTTTAACATCGGTTTATTCTTTAAATATTAAATACACTACTAAAAATACATGTTTCAATATCCAACATTTAGTTTTTGTCAGATTTACCTTCCATTGATATTTTATGAATGGATGTTGTTTTGTCGTTTATTGTTGTTGAAGTGAGTCAGGTTTTATACAGGTGAATACAGGTATTATACAGGTGTATTGTACAATAGACAAAACAATATTATATTACATCACAGCAGGAAATAGACCATGATAATAATATGATTTAAAGAGGAAGCTATCTTTAACATTGAATCAAATCTTCCTTGGGGTAAAGTTTGAGGGAGAGGTTTTCAATCCTTAGCGATTATCTACCATCAGTAACACTGTTTAAACTCTATGATGTCTGTCAGTTTATGACCTAGCTACTTTATAATGAGAAGAGTATTTATTTCTGGTTGTGTTCAGATTAAAAGATTCCTTGACATATGGAATTTGATCGGTAAAGGTGTATGCAGCCTTGGCAAAATTCTCCTCCAAACTTGCACACATAACCATAACCATACTATGACGATATTTTACTCCCAGAATGACCAAAGTCTTACAAACCATATCTTTTACATTAAAAATACAATACCTAATTTAGATATAATAGCTGTATATTGTTACACCTAAGCAACAATAATGCACCTTTATACAGGTAAATGACAAACATGAGAAAAATTTGTAAATTAATCTGACAGGTGTAAATTAAAAGGTGTTCTCTTACATTCTGTGTACATGTACATGTACCTGTAGATAAAGCCTACAGGTTAATAATCTTTTTTACCTGGGTACAGAATCGAATAAAGATCATGTAATATTAAAATGATGATACCATCACCCTCGCAGAATTCTCTCTTATTCCAAGGTCATTGGCGTGACACCATTGTCATCATTCACCTTGCCAAGCAGAACTCATATGATGCTACAGGGATGTCAATCTGCACCTTCTCCCCAGCTCCTCTCACCTTCCAGCTCACACCTGTGTAAAATATTTCATAGTATATATGAAGGACAAACAAATTGTTGAATTGTGATATTAACCTTGTAAATGTGATATATAAAATATATACTATATATACATACATGTATGAAGATATCATTTTAATTGGTTGAAAGGTCAAGCGTAAATGTCTGACCTGTCTGTTTGTAAGGTCAATTAAATATTCATGCTACGCTTGGATAAATAAATTAATATATGGTAGTCGAGAAACGAAAGATGTCAAAGATCATTTATGGTGACAGTATGACAATGAATGAGATGTAGACAGCCTCTATTTATCCAGTATAAAAGATGGAGATCTGTTATTGAAACAGGTTTTTCAGGGTCGACGAGCCATGGTTTAAAACATTGTTAGGATTTTTATATTCTTGTATATCTAGTAAATGTTGATTTATGACCCTCAAGGATTCGGGGCATTTTTCGAACAATATCTAATTTTACTCGCGTTAATTTAACTTTAGATTGATTTATTTAAACTGTAGAAAAAAAACAACCAAAACATCAGTGGTAGATAATTTCCTCGCTTGTTTGTTTAATCTTCAGCAGAGGACAGCAAATGTTGACAGTTTTCCTATTCATCATATATTTGTATTTACCAGAGATCATAATAACAAATAACCAAACATCCAATAAACATTAGGAGTTAAAATTAAGTCAATGATCAATGGTCTTCTTAACAAGTGGGAAAACTGAAATCTGACTTACATGTACATGTACCGTACACTGAAATCTGACTTACATGTACTGTACATGAAATCTGACTTACATGTACCGTACATGAAATCTGACTTACATATTCACAGAAATTTGACTTCCAGCACCATTTCGCCACTGATATTCAGTTTTCTGTATGTTCCCCTAATAACATACAGTTGGTCAGACCCCATGCTGTTTTAATGTCATATACTGTTATAACATAACAGAGTTCTTTGATTGGCATTTAGTAATTGAACATATTAACACAAGGTACAATTTTAAGGATGCACAATTTCTGAGTTTACAAGGATAATCTCGTCTTTATCAAGCAAATGATACAGATATGTGAATAGTAGATAAATATTATACAAATTATGCACCAAAAATAACAATCCAATAAGATTATAACTCTGCATCGCAGAAACATTGAAACGTCGCTTAGTATTAAACTCAGTAATTGTGTATCTATAAAATTGTAGCTTGTGTTAGAAACAGAGTTGTATGAAAGCTATTAATATTGTTTATATCAACGAAAGCCCATGCTACATGTAGATACAGACCATCGATTGTTAATATATTTAATTGATGAGATCTTGTCATGCAATCATTACATGGTTTTTATTTGTTTTTAACTTATATTGATTGATTTAGAGTGTGCTACCTTGGAAATTAAATTTATTCTCTCTAAAGCGTCACTATGTCATTGTGCACTCCCTTTGTCTTGTTTGGTGCCTAACTTTCTTGTAGAATAACACGTTTCCTGTCAGCCTCCTTGACTCCCCGAACTAAAAGTATAACACAGTGAAAGTTGAAAATCATGTTAAAGATACATTATGTAAGATTTAGATAAAGAGCTAGCCCTTCTTGCTATAAAACAAATAGATATTGTAAAATGAAGATATTAGCCTTTTGAAGTTTTGACAAAACGTGTGCAATAATTTCAACCACGGTACTGGTTGTTCCATTTTTGAATTAAATCAAAATATAGCTGAACATTTCTAATCTATTTAATATTGGAAAAATCTGATGCAAGCGAGATTATGGCCTGGATCAGTTAATTAATGTCTAATTAATAATTTAGAAAAGATTTCAAGCCTAAAGAAAGACCTGCAATAGGCAGATTTAGCTCTTGCATAATGTTTGTTTAAATCACATATAACTCAACATTGCAGGCAATTAAACACTTTACAGTGACCAACATAAGTGTACCAATAGAATTTGGTAAATAAATAAATAATTGTGTTCCTCTGTTATTTCCATTATTGATGGTGCAAGCTCTGTACAATAAATGATGGGGCAAGCTCTGTAATTTCAATCTCATTTCAAATCATTAATGACGGGGCAAGCTCTGTAATGTTAAAATCTTGTTTCAAAACATTAATTGGAAATTGGTTTGTTTGCTCTAATAGGTGTAATGTTTCTATAGTGGAACGTAAAATCTGTTATCTCAATGCTGGGCATAAAATTTTCAACCAAGACAGATTATCTTCACATCAAATAAATGGACATATAACAAACATTCAGTGAAATCTTCAGTCTGATTAAACCCAGATACATGGATTAAGTGTGAGTTATATTTTAACCTGGAAGACCCTAGCTATATTTTATTCTCTGGTGTTTGTATTTTTCAGAGGAAACTATGTGACACAAGTTATGAGAAGAATTATATAGCCGTATGTCAGGGTATAGACGATGTTCTACAAGACAGACAACATGTTAAAGAAATTAAAACTAAATTAAAAGATATTAAAAAAACTCGAGTAAGTTATCGTTAATATTTTTGTTTATTGCCTGATTTCCACAAGATATTAATATTCAGTTTCATTGTATTATTTATAAAAGTTGAAAAGCAAACCTGCACAGATAACTTATTTCAGTGTACTAACATTGGATATTGAGGGGTGGGTGTGGCCAGGTTCTAGAGCAGGGATGTAGCCAGGCTCTAAAAAAGGGATGTAGCCAGGCTCTATAGTTGGGGAGAACAAGCACATACATGCAATGGAACTACAATGTATGTGACATACCGAATAATTTTATATATGATTCATTTTATTGTTTTTAAAATCAAAATAATTGAATAAAGTAACATGAGTTAGAAAAATTCTTCCAATATAAATATCGAGATTCGATTTTAATTGCAAAGTTCAAATAAAAATGTGCCTAAGGGAGAGTAGTCCTTCACTGTTCTCTCGCCCTAGTTATACCACTGACCTAGGGAGTCTTCTAAATTGTGGTGTTATACATGTACACCATTGTTCAATATTTCAGGGACATACAAAGGATTATGAACTAGCTGAGAGTGATTATAATTTAGTTGAAGTAAGTATTGTCTGTATAATGTAATCATGTAGACTTTGACTATAATGTAATCATGTAGACTTTGACTAAAATGTAATCAAGTAGACTTTGACTATAATGTAATCATGTAGAATTTGACTATAATGTAATCATTGAGTTCTGTTTTTATTCTATAACTACATGTTAATCTCAAAATATACTGTACTATCCAGATTATCAAAAAGAAAAAATCACCAATAACATTAAAATTTATGATAGGTTCCCCCCTTTTTTCTTTTTTTACAAAAATTGTGGTTGCTAGTGTTGACGTCATTACTGTTTGACGTAATTCGGAAAGTGACGTCATTCTGGACAAAAATAGTACGTGTACAAGCCATTGAATACAACCATAGGTTATTCAATGTCTGTATTCAATGATATTTGCTTGTATTTGCATGTAGTTATAGAATAATATGTTTATAATAAATGTTATATGTTTATAATAACTGTTATAATAATATGTTTATAATAACTGTTATAATAATATGTTTATAATAACTGTTATAATAATATGTTTATAATAACTGTTATAATAATATGTTTATAATAACTGTTAGAATAATATGTTTATAATAAGTGTTATAATAATATGTTTATAATAACTGTTATAATATGTTTATAACAAACTGTTATAATGTTGTAGGATTTGACATGGCAGAAGAAGAGATGTTTAGAAACTATTTTATATATTACGGAAATTGAAAATCTCTTTCAGGTAAGATAAGCAATTCTTGCACATAAACAATTCTTGAGTTTGGAGTTCTCATCATCCCATCCATTCTCTTACCCAATGATTGAAGCTACTTCTTAGTTTAGTTGTCACCAGTAAAGTTGATCGCCATTGGAATTTTTACTGGTCAACATCACTATGGTCACAAGGGGGGTTGGGTAGCCGAATGGTTAGCACACGCACGCTGTACCATAAGGCCTGTCATTGAGTCAACTGGCGTGGTTTCTAATCCATGGTTGTAGGTGACCCCTACTCGCAAGCGAATTATTGAAATAAAATTAAAAACTATATGTTAGTCCCGAAATGACCTAGTTTGTGTCGAGTGGATGTAAAACCCCATTTCTCTTTCTCTCTCTCTCTCTCTCTCTCTGGTCACAAGTTTCCTATGTCTATTGTTATTGTAGTTTAATAATTAGATATAGACTGGTCACTAGGTCTTACATTATTATAAGTACATGTAGTGTATAATATCACATACACTGGTCACTAGGTCTTACATTATTATAAGTAGTGTATGATATCTCATACACTGGTCACCAGGTCTTACATTATTATAAGTAGTGTATTGTATGATATCTCATACACTGGTCACTAGGTCTTACATTATTATAATTAATGTATGATATCACATACACTGGTCACTAGGTCTTACATTATTATAAGTAGTGTATGATATCTCATACACTGGTCACTAGGTCTTACATTATTATAAGTAGTGTATGATATCTCATACACTGGTCACCAGGTCTTACATTATTATAAGTAGTGTATGATATCTCATACACTGGTCACTAGGTCTTACATTATTATAAGCAGTGTATGATATCACATACACTGGTCACCAGGTCTTACATTATTATAAGTAGTGTATATCTCATACACTGGTCACTAGGTCTTACATTATTATAAGTAGTGTATGTTATCTCATACACTGGTCACTAGGTCTTACATTATTATAAGTAGTGTATAATATCTCATACACTGGTCACTAGGTCTTACATTATTATAAGCAGTGTATGATATCACATACACTGGTCACCAGGTCTTACATTATTATAAGTAGTGTATGATATCACATAATGAAAGGGTTGAAAGAAGATGATACTATGTCTGCCTACCTTTATAAATAATTATGTTTATTTAATCAGAATGTTCAGAATCAATTTGAAGAGCGATCTTTATATCTGACCGAGAGAAAACCTGTATTTGAAAGTGTTTATAGAGATGAAGAAGTGGAATCTTCGTCGAGAATGGCCAGGGTACGTTATTATTAAACTCTCAGTCTGAAATATTGTTTGGAAACCCATAATATAAATATAGATCTGTTATAATGTAATATCTTTATTTAAACACCTATACATGTTACAGGATTGTGCGTATATGTTTACATGTTACAGGATTGTATGTATATATTTACATGTTACAGGATTGTGCGTATGATATCAAGAAAGGATGGATGTGGATATCAGACCTGACACAATGTTTAAATACTCACGTTAAAAACGCTGCTGAATTTAATCAGGTAAATAACGCTATAAACATGTCATTCATTTCCTCACAATTATACACCTTGGTTTCCCCTTGTCAGTGATGCTGGTTCAAAGGACCTGGCAAGAAACGGTCTCTAGTCCTTCCAATGAGATTAAAAATTGAGGTCCCATGTTGACTTTGTAAATGAACCTGTTATGGTTGGAATTAGTAGTTGGAATGCCACTGTTCGAGTAATATTTCCTTCATAGCACACTGCTTGATGTATGTTCGTCTTTGTTAGCCCAGTTGTTACATCAAAACTAAATTAGAGATGATAAAGTGATTATATTATTCTATTTTAGTATCATCATGATATACGCCATCTAGACGAAGATATGGAGACATACATACTCTGGTTAAACTCAGAAACCATCAGAAAACCTGTCATTACCAAAGATCCTGAAGTTATGATCAACCATTTTCGTGTAAGTTTTAACCAATCCCCTTTAATATCACCTACAGAGGATAACAAATGTTGACAAATGTTGACAAATGCATCATATTTTTGTAAATTGAACCATTTTTTCCAATTCAACTTTCCCAATATTGTACTTTGCAAGGAATTCAATATCCTTCAATGAAGCTACACAGCTTTAATTATTAGTTTCTGATAGTTATATATTTTTTGTGATTTGGTGTATTGGAATCAAATGAACATGACAATTTGTTTTTTTGTTTTTTTTCAGTTCATGACGACCCGATTGTTGGACTATCAAGGAAGAGTAGACAGATTACGAGAAACTGCCCAAAAAATATATCCGATATATTTTCGTAAAGAATTACCATCCTATCCAGTTAAAGCCAGATCATTGGTTGATTACAAACATCAGGAGGTGCGTATTAGTCCAATCAAACAGAATGAAAAGATGGTGAATTAATCTTGAAAATTCTTCAAGCTAATAAACACGATAATTTTGTGCGACAAAGACACAGTTCGACTGGTATTGAAACTGTCTTTACTAAACACCATGCATGTAGTTTGATCAAGACTCCATTGTTGGTAACCGTAGAAAATAAAATTCTAAGGAAATTGGATGACTTCTGAAAATAGTTTTTATTTTTAATATTTTTATGTTACTGTTTGATGGGGTTCTGTCTAGAGAGTAATATTTATGATATTGTTTTTATATCAACAGATTAGTCTAGAGAGAAATGAAGCTTGTACAGTTTTAGATATTTCTGATGCGGAAAAGTGGAAAGTAAGTTTTTGTTATCCTCTGCTATTGAGACTTTTGAAATGGGTTTGTCCATCTTTTGGAACACAATAAATGTACTTCTAATTGAAGTAGGTGTTCATTAGCAGATTTTCTTGACTGGGAGTTTAATAATTTATTAATTAATGAGTGTCATTTATTTATTTGGGGATTAAGACAGTGATCAATCCTGTGAATATTTTAGGTGAAGACTGAGTCTGGTAAAGAAGGAGATGTACCGGCCATAATTTTAACAATACCACCTCCTGATCCTAAATCCTTTCTACAAGCGGAGAAGTAAGTCAACCACTATTAACTAAAATATACTAATTAATAATACAGTCTTATTAACTAATACTAAAATATACTAATTAATAGTACAGTCTTATTAATAATATAGGCTAATAATACAGCCTTATAAATAACACAGCCTAATAATAGGCTTACAACCTAATTGATAATACAACCTTATAAATAATACAGCCTAATTGATAATACAGGCTAATAAATAATACAGCCTTATTGATAATACAGCCCAATTGATAATACAGCCCAATTGATAACACAGCCCAATTAATAACACAGCCTAATTAATAACACAGCCTAATTATTAATACAGCCTACTAAATAATCCAGCCTAATTGATAATCCAGCCTAATTAATGATACAGTCTAATGATACAGCTTTATTTGATAATCCAGCCTATTTAATAATACAACCTAATTAATAATACAGTCTGTTTGATAATACAATTATTACTTCATCCCTTTATATTTGAAATCATTGCATATCGTCTTTCTTTAGATATTGTATATACATGTATATTTGATAGATTACGGGAACAGTTAGTTGTACACTGGGATACAAGTTTAAAACGTCTTAGATTACAACTGATGCACTTTATGACAATTATATCAAAAGAAACACAATCAAGGGAGGTAAGAACATTTATATTTTTAATGGGTAGACAGTCATTTTTGGAGGCTCTGTGGTGGTCGATTCAATTAGCCAGGGAGTTCAAGTCTTGGGATGGCCCAAGAAGAACCTTTCTTCAGTTGACAGGGGTGGCACCTGCAAAAAAAAAGACAAATAAAGTGTGTCTAGCCCATCGGATGGAATGATCTACACGTAAAACAACCCCGACAGTTCAGTCAGACTAGAATTGATCACAACGCAGAAATAAAGATGTCTTAAAATGAGTAAAGTGTTGTGTTAAGACTGTTAAAATCTTGTTCTATTCCATATTTTGTTAGCGCTACACTAAAGTAAATAATAATTAACTAAATAGCAATTTTTGAATTTTTAAAACTGTTTAATTATTTTATTAATGACGTTATTATTGGGATAGCAACTATATAAGATGTCTGCTTTTCTATTACATAGTTCCAAGGTTTATCAGCCAATCAAAAAGCTGTCTTTTTAAAATTGACCAATGATTCTATACAAGTTTTACGTGTAAAAGGAGAAGATGTTGATTATAATACGTTTAAATCCCAGATGACGTCGATACGTAAAATACTGACACAGGTTAAACCAGGTAAGTTACTCGGCATATCCTGCCACACTAATAACACGCATAAAGCTAAATATAGACATGGTTGGTGAAAACAGCCCCATAGTAAACCCATTTATTTGAAGCCTATTAATATTAGAAGGAAATTATGATTATTGACCCTATTTCCTGAAGTTGACCTCAAATGACTGGCCGATACTTTATAAAATGGAGATTAAGAAAGCCATCTTTGTTATTTGACGAAGAAATGTTTGTAATTATTTCTAACAATGATATGTTAGTCTGAAAATGATGGAAGTAGATAGGATGTTAATGGATGTTTCTCTTTTCTAGGAATAAAGATTTTGAAAAATGGTAATGTACAAAAATGGCAGGGAACAGGACATGTCTTCCGACAATATACTGTAAGTTAATTATTGTTCAGATATCGGCCCTGTATTCACCAGTAATGACAGATACATGTAATAGCCCTGTATTCACCAGTAACGGCTGATATCGTCCCTGTATTCACCAGTAACGGCAGATATAACGGCCTTGTATTCACCAGTTACGACTGATATCTGCCCTGTATTCACCAGTAACAGCTGATATTGGCCCTGTATTTACCAGTTATGGCAGATATCCGCCTTGTATTCACCACTAACGGCTGATATCTGCCCTGTATTCACCAGTAACGGCAGATATTTGCCTTGTAATCACCAGTAATGGCAGGACACAATTCTTTAGGATGATATAAAATGTGTGTTACTACAAGTATATTTCTCAATCGGTCAACCAATTTCGTGTTAAGTACTGGGAAATGTGCCAAAACAAGAAGACTAAATCTTCTACCATGATATAATTGATATTTTTCAGGATCTGTTAGCCTATATTAAATCATATAAAGGTGATTTAGCCAGGAAAATAGAAGAAGAAAACTTAGTAGTTCGAGATCTCCAGACTCCATCTACCTTTACTTCCAAAGCCTATTTTGAACGGTAGATTGTATTATTTATATCTGTAATGGTAACATTATACTGACACTCGTCTGTAATGGTAACATTATACCGACAGACTCTTCTGTAATTGTAACATTATACTGACCGACTCTTCTGTAATGGTAACATTATACCGACAGACTTCTGTAATGGCATTTTGACGATAATTGACGTTATACCGACAGACTCTTCTGTTTAGGGGGTGGCGTCAGTGTTTGGCCGGGTGTGGACGAATTGGTGCGCTTTAGGTCATAGGATATTTTATTGAGTCAAGTGGCATAGTTTCGATTCCCCACTTGTAAGTGAAAAGAAGTAGGGTTGCCTGTTTAACCTGGTGGGTTTTATCCGTGTACTCTGGTTTCCTCCCACAGCTAAAGTACACTACACGCAAGCGAATAATTAAAGTAAAAAATTGAACCATATGTTACTCCTGAAAAGACCTAGTTTGTGTCGGGTGGCCGTTAAATCCCATTTATCTCTGTTCTGTTGTTAATGAGCTGTGGTAGGCGAGCGGTCTAATGCATGTGTTTTAGAACTTAAGGTCTGTAATTGGGTCACGTGGCATGGTCGTCGTGTGGTCTCCAACTCCTCAAATTTCCTCCACTGCTGAAGACCCCAATGCACAATTGAATTATTAAAAAAAGAATGTACCTCATCTCATGTTAGTCTGAAATGACCGAAGTTTGTGTTGAGTGGATGTTACTTCCCTGCTCCCTTCCACCTCCCCATCTTTTCTTATTACCATAGTGAATAATATATTATATGTTTCAGTGCCCTACCAATGGTAGATATAGATGCCTCTTCCAAAGAAACCAAAATAACTCGTGTTCGATCCAGTCTCTACATTCACGAACGCCATAAACCAAAAAAACCTGTAGCTCCACCTAGACGAAAACGCCAAGTCAAACAAGGGGTAAGAACTGACGACCTGTTCTCAGAAACAACTGAATATTCCGAAGAAAGCAAAACATTTGTCATCGTTGGCGTTATTGATCCTAGGAATAAAGAGAAGCTATCTGTGTTCCAGGCCCTGTCCAACAGGGTTTTAGATCAAGCCAATGGTACGTACAATAATCCCGACACAGACTACTCCATTACCATCCCAGAAGCCATCAATAAAGGTTACATTCTGATTGAATTCCGTGATCCGATGATGAACGGAGTTTCTGAAGATAGTTTCTCCTTACAGAACCAGATGGACTATAGAATCTTTGGTATATCGGGTGTCATCGACCCACGAACAGGGGAGTTGATCAGCGTGAAAGAAGCCATCGCAACGGGTCTGATTGACCTAAAACGTGGAATCTTTAGAAATCCAATCACTGGAGAGGAGATGTCTCTATTGGATGCCATCAAAGCTGGATATCTGATCGCTGATCCGTCGTATTTCACTGATCCAGACGAGAAGGGCACCTTCACGTCGGTTGAAATGATGGATCTGAAATACGTCATATCATCTGTCACAGATCCAAATAGTGGGGAGGAACTCTCGTTAAAACGTGCTATCCAAGATGGAATCATTGATCAGGTTAACGGACTTTATCGTAACCCACTGACGGGAGAAAGCATGACAATAGCAGAAGCCTTTAAACTGGGCCTCATTAAAGGGAGATTATTCGACCCCAGTAAAGATAAAGAGGATGAGAACACAATATCTATACAACAACTTCAGATCCGTAAACAGAGATTCATTCCTTCTGGTGTTGACGTGTCCATATCGAATGGTTGTGATTCTGTGGACGGGATGTTGAAACAGAAAGATCCTAACGAGCTTCTGTTTTATAAGATCAAAGAGCAGGTTGATTCCAAGATCAAGTGCATCAAAGATCCGTTGACTAAAGAAGAAATCAGCATAGAAGATGCCTTTGAAAGAGGAATCATCAATTTTGCTAAAGCTGAGTTTGATACACTGGATGGAGAAATTCTACCAATTGAAGAAGCTACTGCTCGTGGTTTGATTGAGCCATCTGTTCTACAGAAGATCTTAAAGACGTATCAAGAAGCAAGCGTTGGTCAGTTGATAGATAGCGGGAAGTTTGATCCTGAAACCGGATTGGTTGTTGACACTGCGACAGGCCACACCCTTTCCCTACAAGCTGCCGTTTCCCAGAACATCATCGACCCTGATACAACCTTTTTTTATGATGTTCCCTCTCAAAGAATCATGAGTCTTAGTACTGCCATAGAATCTGGGCGTTGTAATTTAGTGTCGGGTAAAATCGTGAAGTCAGCCACAGGAGAAGAGTTATCTGTCAGTGAAGCCATCAACACAAGTCAGATCCTCGCCCACATCAACCCTCAGTCGGTAGCGGAACACGCAGAGACGCTCTCTGTTCTACGTAAAGTCATGGATACCAAAATAAAAGGCATCAAGATTCCTTCGTCTAAAGAAATACTCAACATCGAAGAAGCCGTGTCTGCTGGGTTGTTGAACATCCCTCTTGTAGCTTATGCAGATGAGACACAAACCGAAATCAACACGCTACAAACCGCCATTAAAAACGAGAAGATTGAACCTGAATGTGGGATGGCTCTCTTCATGGCATTTCAACGTCTCTCTCTACAAGATGCCATCCAATCAAAAACACTAGATTCCAAAAAAGGAAAATATATCGATCCCAAAACAGGAGAAGCCATTGCCATCGATAAAGCCCAAGAAAAAGGTTTGTGGAATCCTAATTACGTTTATTTCGTGGATAACGAAGCTCGAGGTGTGACCAGTCTCGGTGCATTCATGGACCGTGGCAAGTTTGACCCTTCTTCTGGAAAGGTCATCAGTGATAAAACTGGAAAATCCATGACCATAGAACAAGCCATAGCAGACGGCCTTATTAATCCAGTCGTTGATCCCGTGAAATTTGTGGATATAACTACAACCCTAAAAGATTTGATCGATTCTGGTAAGGTCAATCCCAGATCTACTACTTTTGTTGCCCCTAACGATATGAAGATGTCACTGAGGGATGGATTAGCCAATGGTCTGCTGACTATGAGTTCAAAGGTTAAACTAGATCCCGAGACAGGAAATGTTATTCTGATGTCAGAAGAAGATGTTGTCAAATCTCTTGTTGATGTGAAAGAAAATTCAGATTGGTTGACCGAGGTTGAAAAACTCCTTGGTTGTCAAGGACGACCAAGCGAACGTCTTGGAAAATTGAAAGAACAAACAAAAGGAACTAAGGTAAGTAACTCTGTGTAGGTCTTATGTTAAATCCACTGATCATTTTGACACATTATTAATTCATTCTAATATGTATTCAAAACAGAAACAAATACCAACAGTAGTAGATCCCTGCATTGGATTGAGAAAGTTCATCCAGATTTTCCGTCGTGTTTCCCCCTTGTCAGTGGTACAGAACAGAGAGCTTGGCAAGGGACAACATATAGTCGTTTGGATGAGACAAAAACCGAGGTCCTGTGTACACATTGGCGTGCACGTAAAAGATCCCTTGACAGTTGGAATTCAATATAAGAGTAGGCCGTAGTGCCACTGTCTGGGCAAAATTTCCCTCATAGCACACTGTATGGGGTATGCCCGTCTTCATTAGCCCAGTCAGGAGCAGAGCAGTAGAACGTTAAACATTAGGCGACGACACTGACTAGATTGTAGAGGATGGTGAATATTAACATATTTCACATCATATCTTTGATGGGACTGATATATATCTTTTATAATTCACCTTTCACAACGGATTGAAATGTATTACCCAATATACTCTAACAAAATGTCATCCAACAACTTGGAATTACCTGCAATAGCTTGCTATATTATTATTATTATGTTAGTTTTTTCTATGGTAAAAAAACCGATTTGTTATATTTTGTAGATGATTCAAAAGAATTTAAAAGAAAAAGAACCAGCATTACGATCTGCTGTGAAACAATCGGAAGATTTAGTCGAGAACAACCAGGATAAAAAACTGACAGACGGAGGTCAACAATATAAAAAACTTAAATATAATACATCTGATCTTAAAGTTCGACTTGATTCTGTAAGTTAACTGTTTATATCCATCAGACCCAGATAGACGGTTGGGGACTACTGTTTATATCCATCAGACCCAGATAGACGGTTGGGGACTACTGTTTATATCCATCAGACCCAGATAGATGGTTGGGGACTACTGTTTATATCCATCAGACCCAGATAGACGGTTGGGGACTACTGTTTATATCCAGTAGATGTAGATAGACTGTCAGGGACTACTGTAAATGCAAAGTTTTAGTTTTAATGTGGTCTTGGATAAGCCCCCACAATAACATGCTGTATCAGTGTCTGGATATACTTTCAGAAGTTAATAGTGGTAAATAGTGGTCTAGGGTCCCAAATTTCCTGCTCGAGCACCCTAAACAAACGTTTTATCATATGTTAGTCCCAAATACCTCTAGTTGTGTTGAGTGAAATATATGTCTTGATTATCCAGGCTTCAAGTGAAGTAATAAATCGTGTGGAGAAAATGGATTCGATGTGCGATAATCTGGAGGAATTTTACGGCCAGATGGAGAAATTAGATCACTGGTTGGATACTGCCATCGAGACCACGCAAGATTTACAGTCTAGTAATACAAATATAGAGGATCAGTTCCATGCTTTTAAGGTATAGTAATAAACTTTATCTTCTTTTACCTATGGTGGGTACTCAACTCTTGATCAGAATACGAACCATGGTGAACACTAGACTCTTGATCAGAATGGGAGCCATGGTGGCCACTCGACTCTTGATCAGAATCGAGCCATGGTGAATACCGACTTTTGATCAGAATGGGAGCCATGGTAAGCACTCGATTCTTGATCAGAATCGGAGCAATGGTGGCACAAACTCACACACTTCTTGTATTCGAAGAAATGTTGATTAGAACAGATTATTCTTTTTATCAACCATTCGTTCACTGCACAAAACTGTACCAATTGTCTGGTGGATCTCTTAACGAGTTCTACAAGAGATGGTACTACATCAGAGTTGACCATCATCTAGTTGAAGTAGACGGACGGGAGTTCTACAAGTTAAATATTATATTGTTATTGTGTATTTGCCAGGATTTCTATGAAGAAGTTAAAAGTAAGGAAGAAGATATTCAACACACATCAAAACTGGCTGATAATTTCACGGACCATGCTCAGGTACGTAAACTTATTCTTAGTATCAGGCCATTGCCTTTGTTAATCCTGTGTGGTTGGTTGTCCGACTGGTTAATGTGTGTGTGTGTGTGTTAGATAATAAGGCCTGTCATTGAGTCAAGGGATGTGGTTTCGTTTAGCCGCTTGTATATGACAAGGAGTAGGTTCACCTATCTAACCTCTTGGGTTTTCTCCAGGTCTTCTGGTTTCCTCCCACTGCTAAAGACCCCTACATGCAAGCAAATTATTGAAATAAAATTAAACCATATGTTAGTCCCGAAATGAACTAGTTTGTGCCAAGTGAACATTATACCCCATTTCTTTTATTAATCCTACCTTTAACCCCTTAATCCTATTTTGTTATCTTTTCAGTGTTTTGAACGAGAGTTAGAAACATATCGTAAATCACTGCCCTTCATGCCAACCATTGACGAGGAGACGGAAGCTGGTATCCTTGACGACGAGATTGAATCAATGGAAGCTAAATACAAGGATGTTTCCCGTGAATGTAGCAAACACATGGATAGATTGTCATCCATCGTGAAAAATAAACGTACCTTTGATGATGTGAACGAAAGATTGACGTCACAATATCCACAACTCACTGATCAGCTTAAGAGCATCAATGACAAAGGCTTTGGAAAAAATCCTGCAAAAGATTCCAAAGATTTGAAGGACTTGAAACAACTAAAAGCTGATGTGATTGGTCAGGAGAGAAAGTTGAAGGATTTAATGGCCACCGGAGAGAGATTGACAAATGGTCTTGTTGAAGCTGGTTTGAAGAAAGAAGCAGCAAATATTAGAAATATGATAGATGATCATAAGGTGAGTTGTTTCGTTTTGAAATCTGGAAATATTTTAATGAGACTCCAGATCAGTACAAATTATGTAGAATAAGACGAGGAGTTCTGGAGAGAACTGAAGCTTTACTTAGTCACCAAGGTGATAAATAGAGCAGTATATCCTGTCACATGCATGATACCTATCATTACTTACATCATCAATCATAATCACGAGTATATTTTAAAAATCTTACAGAACAAACACACAGATTTACTGAATGGTATCACAAGCAAAGAGGAAAAACTAGACGCAGCCGTTGCCGAGCAACAGAATGTGATGGGTCGTCTGGATGGTATTTTAGATGTTGTGGAAAACGCAGAAAAAATACTGAAGTCTAAACAACGAGCTAGTTTGAACAAAGAAATATTATCTCAACAGATTCAGGAACAGCGACTCCTTAATGCTGATATAAATAGTAACAAAGCTCTCGTTGACCGTCTGTCACGAGAGTCACATGACATGACAGGAGCAGAAGACAAGCTGACAGATATCGGCGAGAGACTGGATGTCCTGGAACGTCTTGCGGAAGATCGAACTCAAGAACTGGAAGATATTTCTTCAGGAATCAACGATTTCGATCATAAAATTTCAGAAGTTGATTCGTGGTTGAATGAGTCGATACAAACGCTGAAAACGAAGCCAAAGGGAGGAAACAATATTTCCAAGGCAAAGATTGAGGCTCTGTATGAGGGGAAGAAAGCAAAGGAGGGAACTATTGATGGTTTACGTAAAGCTTGTGATAATCTCATGAACGACGATCGTGTTTGTGATCATTATGCGGTGAAGGAAACACTGGGAGATGTTGAAAGCAAGTGGAATGATCTTACAGAATTTTTAGTTCAGCAAGTTTCACTGGAGGTATGTATTGTATGTATTTTGGAAATTATATAAAGATATTCCAAGATAATTGTTGACACTTAAATCACAGATTATTAAATTGTTTTATTAACACTAATAATACAGAGAGGCCGATGACAGGTTCTCTTACCTGTACAAATACATATTTATATATAAGGTAAGTAACAGTATATATTAGGAGTTTTAGCTAAACTCAGTTGTAAATTATTCATACAAATGTAATATATTAAACAAACAGTTCACATTTTTCAGTTTCTATGGCATTCAAAAGCTTTATTGAAGAAGCAGCCTTTCATTTATTACTAGTTTATTTATCAGTTCTTTGATGCTGCTGATTTCTAAACGCAGACGTTTCTCGGAAACAAATTTATTGGATTTTATGGCATCATGTAACAAATGATTGTCAGTCACACAAATAATTGGTAACAAATTTGGATTGGCTTGACCTTTTGTTAGTTCACAATACAAAGTGGCAATAAACAACCCATTGTCTATTCCATCAGACATTGCAAGGGTTTCCCCCGGATTGAGTACTTCGCACAACTCTTCGAATTCATTTAGATTGCCATCCCAAGAGAGAAATTGTTCCTTTTTTTCCCATTAGCATAATGAGGTAGCCCCCATGAGTTCCTCCATCTGGTAAATTTCATAATGACGCATCACTGAAGATCACAAGATTTAAATTATCTTCATGTCCCAAATTTTGAAATTTCAAATCCAACTTTTCAGATTTTGATTTACGTATCAGTTTATTTGCTTCGACAATGTCCTTGACAGTGACTTGTTTCACTGAGCTTGCTAACTGACAGGCATCAAAAAGTATGTCTGGTCTACTTTGTTTCGCTGTTCAGAGTAATTGACCTACTTTGGAACGAAAATTGTCCAGTTCGCATTTTGACAAATCTTATTATCTGTAAGACCATAAACACATTTCTTAAGACGCCAAACTTTACCAGTAATTTCTGTTTCTTGAGGAGGTTTAATAAAAAATATCACGCGAGATTTCCGATCCTTGTAGGAAAGCAGTCTTAATGTCCATTGAATGTACTTTCCAATTTTTCTGTGTAATGATAGTAAGTATTGTCTGCAGGGCTTCCTTTGAACATGTTGGGAAATCTTTAGGAATATCATCTTTTGTTTCTTCAGAACGCCTGACTACTAGATGAGCTTTAGATTTTATTTTATATCCAACGTGTTGAAAGACAGTGCTGTCCGACATCTGGTATTTCACTATAAACATTGTTCTCTTTCCAGCTAGTTAGTTCCTTTTGTTTAGCATCACCAAATTCAAAGTTTTCAAATTGCATGACCTCTTCACTGGCACTGTCACTGGGAGCTAATTTTAAATCTGTTACTTTACTAAGATCAACTGCTTGTTGATAAGCAGTATTACCTGTAGGTACGGCCTGCTCTACCAATAATAGTACCAATGACAATATCATTGCAACTGTCTTTATACCAAATTGATACACCAATAATTATTTCTGAGTGTGTGTGTTTGTTTGTATATAATTTAAGTCGTTGTCTAAGATCGATGGTATGTTGAAATATTTGGATAAAGCTGAGAATGAAATCAATACGGCTGAACCAATCAGTGTGGATCCAGAGACTCTGGAAGTTCAACTTCGTGATCATACAGTAAGTATGGCTATGGAGTCAGTGATTCTGGTTTATGATAAGAAATCAATCATTATTCAATCAATTCTCAAGATTTTTGTTACTTTTTTAAAATCACCCGGAGGTTTAACATTATTGGTTAATACATAAACCATTATAAAATTTGAAGAAAACAAAATTTTATTTTATTAGAAATAGTGTATTTATAGAGCTGATCAAATCAAACACAAGTCAGAAACAAGTAACATCACATACCTGACAACATCTATAAACAAAATTACAAATTTCAAGGTGTTTGTTCATGTGGCTGAATCACCAGAATGATTTAGATACACCGATAGCAAAACAAAAAGCTATTAAAGGGAAACGATCGTAAAATAAAATGTAACCCAGGTATCATTTAATCTTGTGTATATAGCACTAATTTCTTTCACATTCGTTTAATATCAAATCTTTGTTTAATAATTCGTAAAAATCGTTTAAAATCACCAAAAATCATCTAATTTGTACTTGTGTCGAGTTTAAAGCTGACTGATTATACACAAGATTAAATGATACCTGGGTTACAGTGTGTCTGGAACCACTGTTATTTATGTTGTTTATTTTGTATTTAGGCATTTGACGATGATTTGATCCTGAAGAAGAATTCGGTGAAGGGTATAATCAACAAGTGTAATAAGATGTTACAAGAGACGACCAACTCACAGACGGATGAGATCAAGAGTCGTTTAGACAGTATACAGACGCAGGCAGACATCGTTTGTCAACTCAGCTCTGAACGATTAAATCAATTACAATCAGCTTTGCCATTGGCTGGACATTACAGGTAGGTGGTATTTATTGCCCGTACCATCGAGAATGAGGTAACAATAGTCGGGTTGACTTGGTGTAAATATTTGTTAAGTGGCATGGCTTCGATCTCAAACTTGTATGTGACAAGTAGTAGGGTCACCTTGTGACACTCTGGTGACACGTGTGTCCGGATGGCAAATCTTCTGTGTTACACTGTCGTGTGTCTAAGTAGGACTTGACGTTGTGATAAATAAGACTTCAAACTCTTTTCTGTTCTCTGGAGATATCTTTATAGGTTACAATAATATATTCTACAACATCGATACAGCTATTGTTCTTTAGGTATTTAAATGTTAACCACAATTAAAACCTATGATGTGTACCCTGGCTATTTCGCCCAACCGTCTCCCGGGAAAACGCGCTAGTCTAATTTATATACAAAAGGTGAGGGGGGTCAACTATCAGGATGGATCCTTGACCATATTTGGGCAAGCGCTGCATTAGAGCATGCCGTTACGTCAACCCTAATTTTATGAAATTGGGCAAATTTGTACTGTACGAATGGAGACCACTGAACTGATGTCTGATCGTTAACGTAATAGGATATTATTTTTAACTAACCATGACACAACAGTAGCCCTCTTCCAGAAATAACTGGTAGCAGGAACCGTGAGTCAAGTCTAAGAAAGATGAAGGAATCCTGCAAGCGTATAGCCTGCATAGTCACAACCTGCCCAACGTTGTGTGTTTCCTCTAGGTCCTTTGTTTTTCACCATCTGCTCAAAGACCCCTGCGTGTAAGCGAATTATTGAAATACATATTTTAGTTCGAAATGACATTAAACACCATTTCTTGCTCTCAGTGTTTCAATTCTTTAGGCTATAAACGTTGAAATACTATGATTTTGCGACAGCGTTACCATACTTAATTATAAAATATCTCGTATATCATTTGAAAGATGATCATTGATTAAGTTATTTATTTCAGTGATACCCAAGCAGAAGTAACGGCCTGGTTAGATGAAATGGAAGCCGAATTAAAGGCCCAGGGTAAACCTGGTGAAAGTCTCGAACAAATCAGAAAACAATATGATCATCTCAAGGTAAACACGACACAAATTATTAAACATGACACAAATTATTAAACATGACACAAATTATTAAACATGACACAAATTATTGAACATGACACAAATTATTGAACATGACACAAATTATTGAACATGACACCATGACCCGAACAAATGGCATGACAGTCTTATATTAATGGCATGACGGTCTTATATTAATGGGGGGTGGGGTGGATGGCTGAATGGTTAGCGTACGCGCGCTGTATCATAAAGTCTGTCATTGAGTCAACTGGCGTGGTTTCGAATCCCTGGTTGTACGTGACAAGGAGTAGGGTCGCCTGTCCAACCTTGTGGGTTTTTTCCGGGTCCTCCGGTTTCCTCCCACTGCTAAAGACCCCTATGCGCTAGCGAATTATTGACATAAAATTAAACCATATGTTAGTCCCGAAATGACCTAGTTTGTGTCAAGTGGACGTTAAACCCTATTTATCTCTCTCTCTCTTATATTAATGGTATGACGGTCTTATATCTGTCCAAAAATCATTCAGATTGAACAGTCATAAAATTTAAAGTTTGGCCAACTACGATTTTAGTGATTTCATGAAACCATATTCTTTTTTTTCTAAGATTATTAGCCATTGCCTGAATATTTCATTTCTATCCACAAACACTGAGTTTTAATTTTCTATATTACTATTTAAACAACTCTTTTAAATCTTTGTTTTGCTTGAATTATGGTGAAATAGTTATTGGTTAAATTACTGTGAAATGAATTGGTTGAATTAAGGTGAAAGTGTTATTTTTGTAGGGAACACAGCAGATCATCCAGGATCACAAACCGTTTATTGATGACTTGAACTCGACAGGATTGGAACTCATGGATCTGTGTGGTGATGAAGATGGTAACGATATTCAAACTAAACTTATAGACAGCAATCAGAAGTATGAAGCACTAAAAAATCAGGCGAGACATAAAGCCAGGCAGCTGACAGATGCCAAGAAAAAATTCACTCAGGAGGTATATAAAAGTTCAGTTTTGTAATATTTCGTATGGATAGTTTAAACATACATTATGCAAGAGCTAAATCTGCCTATTGCAAGTCTTTCTTTAGGCCTGAAAAGTTTTCTAAATTATTAATTAGACATTAATTAACTGATCCAGACCATAATCAACTCGCGATGTCATCGCTAGCCTACGATATTTACTGGATTAGGTTCTGATTTGCTGTTGGACTTCCATTTATAATTTAATCATGAAATGGATAATCGAGACTGTTTTTTATCCTACCAACTTTAGTAATGATGATCGAGGCTAGGCGGAAAATTCAATCGCTAAAATCTCGGTTCATAGTGGATTAATTTGACTGAAATTTTCAGCAAATTCCTGTTATATTATCAAGTTTTTAACTATTATAGTGAGAACTGCCAGCTCTTTATCTAATCTCCCATAATGTATCTTTAAGTAATATGTGACTTGACCTTACATAATGACTATTGGTTTTTGATCATTGTGACCATTGATATTCTTCACTGATCGGGGCCCAAGAATGGGCCTGGTTATTGGGTCACATGGGAACATTTTGACGTTTGTCATGACTCAGTGATCTGGTTCTACGTACCCAAAGGGTTAAACAGGGTTAAACAGTTCCATTTTGTATTTTATTATCTTACCATGTGATTTATATTTCCAGGTATCTGATTCATTGGATCAACTTGTAGAAGAACTGGCCCAGTTGAATGCTGCTGTTATTAACTCTGATCCTATCCCAGCAGCCCCAGACAAATTACGAAATGAAATTGATGAAATGAAGGTATGAAAGGATTTTGAAATCGTTAGAATTAAGAGAGATAACTTGGATTATTTTAACTCACTAACGAGGAGGTCCCAGGTTGAATTCCAGTTTTGGACCAGAAAATTCCCCAGCAATTTCCAGTCTGGTTTGCTCTTGTCAGACCTGGTAAGGAACATCGTCTAGTCGTTCAGATGAAAAACCAAGGTTCACCCGTTTACTCTACATAATAGAACCTTTGACAGTTGTAATAATAGAACCCATTGACAGTTGTAATAATAGAACCATTGACAGTTGTAATAATAGAACCATTGACAGTTGTAATAATAGAACCATTGACATGATATTAATATAATAATTTGTATTATCAGGCTGTTATAGAGGATTTAGAGAGACAGAAACCTGATATAGAGAAGGCTAGAGAAATCAGTAAAAACGTACAAGCACATGGTATAGAAGATCCTGTTGAAGGTATGTAGACAGATTCTAGCCAATCATCAACATCTTAATCCACGATAAAATACATTTATTTAAAGATACATTATGGGAGATAACATAAAGAGCTGGCAATTCTCACTATAATAGTTAAAAACTAGATAATGTAAAGGGAACTTGCTGAAAATCTCAGCCAAATTGATCCAATATGAACAGAGAATTAATAAATTGAAATTTTGGCCTAGCCTGGATCATCATTACTAAAGTCGGTACGATAAATAAACATAGTCTTGAACATCCATTTCATGATTAAATTATGAATGGAAGTCAAGCAGCAAATGGGATCATAATCCAGTAATTATCACAGGCAAGCGATGCCATCTAGAGTTGATTATAATCTGGATAAGTTAATTAATAATTTAGATAAAATTTCAGGCCTAAAGAAAGACCTCCAATTGGCGGATTTGGCTCTTGCATAATGTATGTTTAACATTTAATTATGAAAACAAAATATCAACAGTAAATAAATTTCCTGGTTTTGTTTCAATCAGACCATTCCATAGATTTTACAGGTGGCACTGGATTGTTGATATCATTTAAAGAGGGTTTATCATATGTTTATAAATAATGAATGAAATTGAACCATTTCTGGGACGAGGCATTGAAAATTCCTTAAATTGCAATCAAAGACTTAATGATTCTTTTGTTACAATAAGCCCTGAAAACACATTGCTAGCCACGAATTTGATTAAATGTTGATATGCTTGACTTGATTTTAGCTTGAGAATAGTGGAAAACGACTAAAACTAGATATTAAAACAGTTTATTTTAAAATTAGTGAGAAATTAAATATTAAATCGTGAAATTTGGATTTTAAGAAGAAAATATACATGACTAAGTATTTTAATTTTGACCTCTAACAGCTGAAGATGTTCAGAGTAAGGTGGTTGAAATCAACAAACTTTACAGTCAAGTTCAGTATGGTGCCAAAGGAAGAGAACAACAACTGGGAAGTGCTCTGGCTTACTCAGAAAAATTATTTGATATATCGTCAGATGTTATGGCGAGTCTGCGTGATTTAAAGGATAATATGTATTCACAAGAACCAGCTGGTGTTGACCCATCAACAGTTAAAGAACAACAGAGTGAATTAGAGGTAATCAACAATTACAAATATTATGTTAATAAAAGTTGTTTCATTATTGCTTGCTGCCTTGGTCAAATTCCAACCATCACCCAACCAACCTCGTCTCATTTTTCGTCCAACCATCCTTGTCACATCCAACCATATCATCCAACCATCCATGTCTCATCCCTCACTCAACCATGTCATCAAACCATCCATGTCACATCTTTTATTATCCAAACTTGTCCCATCCAACATGTCATCCAACCATTCATGTCTCATCCTTCACCCAACCATGTCATCCAACCATCCATGTCACATCTGTCATCCAACAAGCCATGCCTCACCCTTCACCCAACCATGTCATCCAACCATCCATGTCACATCTTTTACCCAACCTTGTCCCATCCAACCATGTCATCCAACCATCCATGTCACATCCTTTACTCAACCATGTCATCCAACCATCCATGTCACATCTTTTACCCAACCTTGTCCCATCCAACCATGTCATCCAACCATCCATGTCTCATCCTCCCGTCTTCATTAGCCCAGTTCGGAGCAAAACAGTAGGACGTTAAAACCCATTTCATTTCATGCCTGATCCTTCACCCAACCATGCCATCCTACCATCCGTGTCTCATCTTTCCCCCAACCTTGTCCCATCCAATCACGTGGCTAAGTGGGTAAGACGCTAGCTCGCTAGCCTGGAGGTCGGGTGTTCGATCCCTGCATTGGCCGAGAAAGTTCATCCAGATTTTCCGGCGTGGTTCTCCCTTGTCAGTGATGCAGGACGGAGGGGCTGACAAGGAAAGCTGTCTAGTCGTTCGGATGGGACGAAAAACCGAGGTCCCGTGTACACATTGGCGTGCACGTAAAAGATCCCTTGGCAGTTGGAATTCGATATAAGAGTAGGCCGTAGTGCCGCTGTCCGGGCAAAATTTCCCTCATAGCACACTGTATGGCGTATGCCCGTCTTCATTAGCCCAGGTTAGGAGCAGAACAGTAGGACGTTAAACTCCATTTCATTTCATTTCATTTGTCCCATCCAACATGTCATCCAACCATCCATGTCTCATCCTTCACCCAACCATGTCATCCAACCATCCATGTCACATCTTTCACCCAACCATGTCCCATCCCACCATGTCATCTAGTAAGGTGCCCTCCTATTTTTGTATTGCGATATATTTCATCAAAGACTGTAACAATGAATATTTTCAGGGTTTAATGAATGAGTTAGATAAAGCGAGAGAACTGATGTTAGATTGTCGACGTATCGGGGATGATCTCTGTGACATCTGCGGAGAACCAGGAAAAATTGAAATAAAGAAACAGATTGAAGATTTGGTGAATTTAGCCGATGATGTGGCAGATCTTGTTAAAGACCGAAGAGAAGAATTAAAGAAAGCCTTGGAACATTCTGAGAAATATGAAGATCTGCTCGAGGTAAGAAGAAATTGATTTATACTTTAAACATTTGTTTGAGGTTTTTGGTGTCTTTCTGGTGATATGGTGATAGAAATATATATTTGTTAAGAATACTGATCCAGTCTACAGTGTGCTTGTTTATTTAAACAATATATGGTGGAAGAAACGGAGGTGTGTCAACTGCATGAAATACGGATATTGCTTTCACCATTGAAACTGGGAGTGATTTATGTCATATTTATTTAAGCATTTTGACAAGAATTTATTTTTCTTATATATTTCTTTTTTCATCAATAGAATGAGAATTGATAAACATTCAGGTTTTTCCCACATTATAAAAAAAATGCCTCTCTACCTTGATTTATGGCTTGTTCGTTTTTTATGGTTTTATTTTGAACTGAATTTATTTCTCAATATTTTTTTCTCCCCTCTCTTTCAATGAGAAGAAAATGGATGTAAGATTTATATGATTTAAAAACTAATTCAAATTTTTATAGTAGAATTTTATTTCTAATTCTTTTATTTAGTAGAAGTGAAGTCTTTTGTAATGTTTCTATGATTTTAAAGATAATATTTTCTTTATTTATTGAAAGCTAATTAACTTTATTTTAACAAAAGAGTTTACATATATTTTGCTGTGTCCTCATTTTAATTTTTGTTATTATTTTAACTTAGTTTAGTTTGAATGGCTTGTATTATATATTTATATACAGATTTTGTTATAATAAGTATCCTGACTAAGATTCGTATTTATTTCTATATAGTGTATAATGTCGATTTCGTTTGACATATTGGAATACAATTTCGACTACGGTTCTTTGGGTTTGAGGGGGGTTGGATGGCTGAATGGTTAGCATATGCGCGCTGTATCATAAGGTCTGTCATTGAGTCAACTGGCATGGTTTTGATTCCCCGGTTGTACGTGACAAGGAGAAGGGTCGCCTGTCCAACCTTGTGGGTTTTCTCCTGGTCCTCCAGTTTACTCTGGACCTCACGCACAAGTGAATTATTGAAATAAAATGGAACCATGAGTTAGTCCCGAAATTACCTAGTTTGTGTTGAGTGGACCTTAAACCCCATCTCTCTCTCTCTCTCTCTCTCTCTCTCTCTCTCTCTCTGGGTTTTGCGGGTCACGGTGGCTCAGTGAGTATGAACTCATGAACCAATAGGTCCCGAGTTCAATCCTTTAAGTTTAACAAGATATACCAGTCTTGTTCAGTGGTCTAGGACTGAAGGTCTGGCAAGTTCTTGTCCTTCAGTGGTCTGGGACTGAAGGTCTGGCAAGCTCTTGTCATTCAGTGGTCTGGGACTGAAGGCCTGGCAAGTTCTTGTCCTTCAGTGGTCTGGGACTGAAGGCCTGGCAAGCTCTTGTCCTTCAGATGAGATGAAAAGTCTTGTCTATTGGCAGCACATTAAAAATACCCGGACATAGAGGAAGATATGGGGTAGGCCTGTCATTATCCCAGTTGTTGTACAAATAAAACAGGTTACTAATGTCATTTCATTTCATCTTTTGGATGGGATGATAAATCTATATACTCTATAACTGAAAAGATCCTTTTGAAGGTAAATTTCACTTGCTGTTCCCTCATGTAATATTTTAACCAGTCAGGAACTGAGAAATCATATACTAAACAGCAAAAAAAAAAACGTCAGTACGATTTCAAAATCAGAGAGGCACTTTAATCAAATCATTCTAGAAAACGACTTACTAAATGAATCAAAGCAATTTTTTGTGAACAGTATGTTGACACATAGTGATTCATTACAATTCCAAAACATTACGAGTAGGTTTAGAGTCTGTACACAGTCTATACATCAGTATCTGGTTTGTCCACCGCGAGTGTCAATACCAGCAGTGCAGCGTCTGTACATGGAGTGGACCAGACGATTGATGAACGCCATTGCCACCTTGAACCACACTCTCAGAAAAGCCTATCGCAATCCACCCCAAAAAATTATGCTTGGACCTCCCCATGAGTCTTGTTGTTCCATGACACATTGGTCAGAATAATGCTGGCCACGTCGACACCATATTCTGGTCCTGCCATCTGCAGTTGATACGCAATACCAACTCTCATCTGTGAACAGAACAGTTCTCCATTGCCTGTGTAGCCAGTTCTGGTGTTGTTGGGTAAACTGTAGACATTCATGTCGAGGGTGAGGGGTGAGCATTGGTCCACGGTAAGGTCTACGGCAATGGCTGTTCTCTCTGGTGAGATGTTGCCGCACTGATGGGCCATCGTCTTCCGTGTGTTCTGTCTGACATGCAGTTTCAGATGCCTGTGTGAAGGGATTCTGCATGTGCTGTCGCCCAACATGGCGGTCTTGTCGCCTTGTGGTAACCCTTGGTCTACCATTTTGGGGGAGATCATCCGTGGTGTTGGTGGCCTGAAAGCGTTGCTGAAACCTGTAGATGGTCTGAAAATTGACCTGAAAGTGATTGGCAACGGCTTGGGCATTGTGGTCGGCGTTGAGTCTTCTAAGTGCCTGGTTCCTCTGAGCTGTCGTGAGTCATGGCATGCTGCTGACGTTGTAGTGTCAATGATTCAGCCAGGAATGGGGGTACATTTTATAGGGCCGGTCCCGGTGAACAGCACGTGCAGGATGAGTTACATGAAAATCATGGAGAACACACTACCATCTCGGAAGTCGGGTTGCGTTTTTGAGAACATTTCTTGGGTTCAATTCTGTGATTGGGAAGGAGCCTTATTGCTCAGATAAGGTTGGAGATGTGGTCACGAATATACAATAAAAACTTTTGGCAAGTTTTATGCAATGCGTCTATTCAGAGTAACATACCAACCTGATGTTTCTTTTTCTGCTTAGATATTATATCGGAGCTTTATTTGTATATTTTTTATTGCTGTTAAAATGTTATTTCAATTCTGTTTAACCTTGATTTATTGTAGCAATATATTTTAAAATACTTTTTAAATTGACAACTGTAATGAATGTAGATGAAATATTTTGTTAATACTGTACGGGAGATAGAATTTACATCTTATAGAATACACATATATTAGAATATCACATACTTTTTCGGTGTTAAATTTTTTCTTAATGAGTTTAATGATATTAATAGTCTCTTCAACTGTATTCGGTTTATAAATGGATTTCAACATTATAAACTTGAGTTAAATATCCTCATCTGAAAAAATTAGATTTCTCAAACATTGATGATATTTTTATATGTTTTTCAGTCGATTAACTCCTGGTTACCTCTATCGGAACATAAACTGGCTGGTATGCGACCTCCATCCAGTGACCCAGATGCCCTGAAAGATCAGATCGATGAAGTCAAGGTAATGAAAAGATATATTGTGCATAAAATGGGCCCTGGCTCTATGGGTAATATAATATTAGCCGATATGTCCTATTGTGTATATAGTATTAGCGTAGTAATATTGTTCTATCATAAGTTTCTTTACATATTTGATTCAAATGATTTTATCTGTTTTCAGTTATTTAAATCAAATGTTCATCCTCGCCTCACGGACCTCCAGCTGTTAAACCAACAGGTGGCAGCACTTAAAGACATGTCACCTGTAGCCTCAGAGGCCTTGGCGAAACCTGCTGAAATCGTCAACGAAAAATGGAATGATTTAATCCATGGAATAGCTGACAGAGAAGTGAGTAAAAGAGAATATATGTAAAATTTCCATGGTTTATATACTTAAAACCCACTTTAATCCATTAAACATACATTATGCAAGAGCTAAATCTGCCTATTGCAGGTCTTTCTTTAGGCCTGAAATGTTATATAAATTATTAATTAGACATTAATTAACCTGTCCAGACCATAATCAACTCTAGATGGCATCGCTAGCCTACGATCTTTATTGGATTATGAGCCGATTTACTGCATAACTTTCCTTCACGATTTAACGATTAAATGGATAATCGAGACTATGCTGTTTATCGTACTGACTTTAATAATGATGATTGAGACTAGGCAGAAATTTCAATTGCTTAGTTCTCGGTTCATAGTGGATCAATTTGAATGAAATTTTCAGCAAATTGCCTTTACATTATCTAGTTTTTAACTATTATAGTGAGAAGTGCCAACTCGTTATCGAATCTCCCATAATGTATCTTTAACAGATATCTTGTAAAATCTGACACCTTTAATTCTGTAAATGATGTAATATTTTCTGTGTTTATTAAATGTTGTCATGTTTTCAGGGTTTATTAAATGATATGCAAGTACAAGTGGGTAAATTAGAACACGCTATTGATGACGTTGTGGGTGCCTTGAATCATGTTCAGAAAGATCTCGACAAATTTGAGAATTTGAACGGAGATCCTAAATGTTTAGAAACTCAGATCAGAAAACTTCAGGTATTTTTATGTTTTATTTGTATTGATTAGATTGTTAGTTGATGTAATCATTCCACTGTATTGATTAGACTGTTAGTTGATGTAATCATTCCACTGTATTGATTAGACTGTTAGTTGATGTAATCATTCCACTGTATTGATTAGACTGTTAGTTGATGTAATCATTCCACTGTATTGATTAGACTGTTAGTTGATGTAATCATTCCACTGTATTGGTTAGACTGTTAGTTGATGTAATCACTCCACTGTATTGATTAGACTGTTAGTTGATGTAATCATTCCACTGTATTGATTAGACTGTTAGTTGATGTAATCATTCCACTGTATTGATTAGATTGTTGATGTAATCTCCCCACAGTATTTGTTAGATTGTTAGTTGATGTAATGATCCGACTATATTTATTAGACCGTTAGTAAACCATTCTGAAAAGAACTCTTGAAAGAGTCCTCCACAAGCGATGTGATGAAATTACGATATACCAAATATTCATTTCAATATTACAGTGTTGTGTAGATGATACGTTAACCTTTCCTCTGTGGCCACGGTGGCTCAGTGAATAAGGCATTAAACTATCCGGACAAAACTACCTTCACAGCACACAGTAGGATGTTAAACTACTTTTTATTTCATTTATTTCTCTGTCAACATGCTGCCCTGGTAAAATTCAACATTTTGTGTCTATTTTCAGCTTCAACAAGGTGATATAAACAATCAGGACAAAACAGGACGTAAAATAAATAAAGCTGTCGACGATCTTCTGGCTAATTCTAACGAGGATGATTCAGCTCTTAAAAAGAAACGAAACCAGATGAATGAGAAGATTAGAGTGGTACAAGCTAACGCTCGCGATAAGGAAAATAAACTACAGGAAAACCTGCGACAGGTAGGACTTTAATTCGTCCCCTAGATTAGATAATTAGATTTAAAGCAGACTGTTTAAGATAATTTATCTGTGTTTGGGAATTTAACCATATTTATGTTGGTTGTGTTTGAATATTATTACAAAAAATAAAAAATTTATTTTACCCGGCCTTAATGTTTTTTTATAAAATGTATTTATTTGTACTTATTTATAATGGTATATATGTTAGTTTGAGAATTATATTGGCAGGTAAAGGGATATCTAGGTGATGTCGATGATCTACTACAATGGGTGAATGAGTTCCGTATGGAGTTAAAATTAAATCATCCATTTGGTGCTCTACCAGATACTTCAGATATTCAGTATGAACAATTCTTGGTACGTAAATGTTATTGTGTTTACACTGCCTTGGCAAATTTCACTCCTGTATTGATTATGTGTTAAGATGGAAAAGAATTGGCCATGTAGGGAAAATTCTTGGCTAGAATCACTGGTGTAGATATTTTATAAATATATTAATGATTTTGAAACAATAGTTGGTTTAATAAATGTACATTATATTTATAATATGGGAGCTTGGAATTGGGAATAAAATAGGATTTTGAAACAGTGGTGGTTGATTGATGTGACATTGTGTTTTGAAAACTAGCTGTTTATTTTTTGTGTTCGGTGAAGAATGAGCTAAGTTATCTAATTTATAAAATGTGCATGTTGTGGTATTGATATGGGGCATATACACGCCTAAATCCCTGAATTATTTAAATAAAAATATATCACATCTTAGTTTGTGTTTCATAGACATTAAACTCCATTCGTCTAGTAATTAATTTTAATCTTTGGTATTGTATTTTTTGTATTAATAGAAACAATGTGAGGAGATGGATGGACGTGAGAAACAGGTACAAAGTTTATTACAAACTGGTCAGGAGATTATAGATTCTAGTAAACCTGATGATACAACACAGATCTCAGAGAAAATGAAAAAACTTCGTGATCGTTGGAATGAAACACGAGAAAGGGCTAGAAAACGAAAGGTAAGTTATAGGACTTTTTGATTTGGAAGCATGGAAGGACCCAGGTTCTGGTACCACAGTTGCTCGAGATCTATTTTTGTCTGAATATGACCAGCTAAAATACGAAAGGTAAATTCTCATTGATATTTACCTGGTTCTCACAATGTTGATGAGGCACATACTGTCTAGTTCATCAAGCATTGGGGAATTTGGGTGGCCAACCATAAGGTCTAAGTAAGTCATGGGTTTTTTCTCAAGGTGGTTTTGTAACTGAAGGGTCATCTGCTTAACCTGTTTTCTTCAGGTACTCTGGTTTTATCTCACTTCAGAATACCGATATCTTATTCCTGAAAACAAACCACACCTCTTAGCTTTAATATACACATTAGATAGGCCACAACAACTTCACATTAAAACAAGGACAAAACAAACAATACAATATTTTTTTGTGTCATTTTAGGAAAAAATGGAAGAGCATTCAAAGAATGTAACAGAATTCCATGATACACTGAAGGCCTTTACTGATTGGTTGAATAATGCAGAGGTTATGATGCGTGGAATGAAATATCCCAGTAAACTGGTTGACGTCATTACCGGACAAATTGACAGTCACAGTGTAAGTCTAGAAACCTTCTCAATAGACAGTCCCACTCTCAATAGACAGTCCTACTCTCAATAGACAGTCCTACTCTCAGTAGACAGTCCTACTCTCAGTAGACAGTCCTACTAGACAGTCCCACTCTCAATAGACAGTCATACTAGATAGTCCCACTCTCAATAGACAGTCATACTAGATAGTCCCACTCTCAATAGACAGTCCTACTAGACAGTCCCACTCTCAATAGACAATCCCACTCTCAATAGACAGTCCTACTATAAGAATTACTAGTAAAATTATCAATTAATTTCTTTACTGTGATAAGCATGTTAGTTGTAATGTTGCCTGGACAGTTATTGTTTTAAGGGTGGGGGTAGAATTTGAAATGTTTATTTCATGTTTTTATTTGTAGAATTTGAAGTCTGATTTAGAAGCCCAAGCTGAGTTGATGTCTACATTAGATAAATCAGGAACGTATCTGAAATATTTTGGACGAAAACAGGACACGATTTATATCAAGAATTTATTGGTTGGTATACGCCTACGATGGAAGAAATTATTACGTCGTGCTGATGAACGTGGAAGATTGTTACAGCAGGCCTTTAAAGAAGATAAGCGAGTGAGTGAATCTATAAAATATTTCATCTTGTAATGGAGCATGTGATATTAAAACAGTCACAATCTGATTAAAATACAGAACCTGTTTCATTTTTTATAGTTCAAATTTCGTTTTACTTGTCTTTACTACACTAGGATCAGGAAGAGTTGTTATATTATAACCCGTGTTCTTGACCTGTGATGCACTTGGCGTGTGATGCACGGAACTGTAGATATCCTATTAAAATCATCAACGCTGATTGGTTAATCAAATGTCTGACGTCATAGGTCAAAAACCGCTTGTGTGTGTCCCCTGACACAACCTCCCGCTACAATTAGATCTTCAAGAAGTAGAGGCTATCGAAAGTATAGATCTGTATTTTAATGAGATTGGTAAAGTCACTGTTTAAAATCATGGTGTAGACCAAGATTTTATCTTCAGCTTGAAATTGTCTTTATTTGGAAATTATCTTAGGTCAAAAATATGATAAAGATTTTAATGTGTAATTGTGTTTTTTTTGTTTTTTTACTTTAGTTCTATGATGCCTGGAAGGAGCTGTGTGATTGGTTGGATACTAGCGCCACCAAGTTGAGTAGATTTATGTCTGGAGGTAAAGCAGATAAAGTGATGAAACAGGAAATGGATGAACTCAAGGTAAGAAACTTCAACTTGACCTTAACTGTATTTTTCTGGGAATGTATTTAATTGTATCATTTCTGTCATTGTCGTGTTTGTTAAAAGAAATTTTGTGTATTATCTTTTTTTAAACCATAATTGATCTTTGTGTACTTGGATTTTTCTGTGAATGAAGTGCAATGCACAACTCATGGCCACCTGAGCTACACTACCCATGGCCACCTGAGCTACACTACCCGTGGCCACCTGAGCCACAGTGCTCGTGGCCACCCGAGCCACAGTGCTCATGGCCACCCGAGCCACAGTGCTCGTGGCCACCCGAGCCACAGTGATCGTGGCCACCTGAACTACTTAGGGGTTTTTGCTCTCATTTTTTGTAAGGAATTTGGAGGTGTTTTACTTTTTATGTTATAACTACCTTTTTTCAACTTATTATTAAACTTCAGCAAATGATAATTATATAAAATATACAAATAGTCATTGTATCTACTCAATACAAATAAATAGTCATTGTATCTACTCAATACAAATAAATAGTCATTGTATCTACTCAATACAAGTAAATAGTCATTGTATCTACTCAATACAAGTAAATACACTTAAATAGTTTGCATATTTCTCTCCAATTGACAGAAATTGTTTCTTTGTAAACGCATCTTAATATTTATTGGCCTGGGAAGAATAGACGACATTCATGAATATATAGTTTTATATTCCATCGACTATTGAAATAGATAATTGAGGTGTGATCAACTGGTCCATTTCAGGGATATAAAGGGTTTATTTCATGATTACTAAAGTGTAAAAAGTATCCAAGCGAGACAAAACAAATTGTGGAATAGTTTTACGTAGGTAATTGGAGGTAGATATGATTTGTATAGGATCGTTTAATTTTTTATTCTTGTTAAAATGTAGATATTTAGTTTTTGTTATCATTTCATTTCATTTTATAAGAAAAAGTCTTTCAATTCATGGTAATTATCTGAAACCGTTCAGTCCGGGTTCAGTCCTGGTTCAGTCCGGGAAAGTTTTCAGGGTCTGTTTTGTTGGAAATTGGTTTGAGTTGCTGTTATGATTTATATAAACAATATTTATTCAGAAACTGAGGGGATTGGGGAACAGGCAAAGCCTATATAAACCCCTTTCCTGGTTAAAAATAAATTACATAATATTACAATATATTGAAAAACAAAGAAGAAAAAAGGAATAGATAAAAAGGAAATTATATATATATATATATATATATATATATATATATATATATATATATGTACACATAATCCACTAAAAATATTTACATTTGAAATAATTAAAATCAGTTATTTTTTAAAATTTAAATCTTTCAGTTTTTTCAATAAAATTATGCACCTGGTTAAATATTGACACGTTTTCGTTGTATGTTAGTGTTTCTGATCCATATAGTAGCACTTTAATGTTTTGCTGTGTCGGAGATAAAGTGTCGATTGTACTATGACGAGCATCTGAATACGAGGAACATATGATAAGGATCTTCTATTGTATATTACCACTGTTAAGATGAGTTAATATGGAAAGGGAACACTTGATAGTCACTGGCATTGCAATTATCTCCCACATTAATTCATTTGGCTTTAAAATCTTCTATCCCTACTTAAACATTATGTATATTGCTAATTTCTTTTCACCAAACTAAGATTAATTTTTAGACCATAGGGGAGACTGGGGAAAGTTGTGCCACCCCTCTACAGGCTCTCAGTTTGAATTCTCTGTAAAGTGGTGCCATCTATTGTTAAGTGGTGAAACTTAATTGTTATTTATGTATGTGGCTTCAAGATGTTCTCTGGGACAACATTTCTCTGCACAAAATAATGATTTTTCACCTTCTAACCAAAGCTCCAGAAAACAGGGTTGTGAATTTATTTCTAGAAAAGCAAAGGTAACTTTTGATAGTGAAGTTTCCTTTTTATAGTGGGTAGTGAAGTTTCCTTTTTATAGTAGGTGAAGTTGTCTTTTGATAGTGGGTGAAGTTGTCTTTATAGTGGGTGAAGTTGTCTTGTCATTGTCTGTTTATTTCAAGACATCTGCATCAGTAGAGCTACAGTGACCTTCAGGATGGGATAATCTGTGTCCAGTACCATTTCTGTTGAGATAAATAGGATACTTAAATTTGTCTTGTTTGTATAGTAAAGTGATCACTATTTTATTAGGATGAGTGTTGGTCCAGCTTGAAACTGGCTGCTTCGTCCAAGTTATTCAGAATGTTTCAATAGCAAATCATGCAGTTATCTTGAAAACTTGTGAATGTGATACACAAAAAAAGGAGGTGTCTGGTCAAAAAACTGTTTTTGTTGATCCAACATTCAAGTTTGATGTGTCTACACTTGAAAATACCACAAAGTTATGCTAATTTTATGCTGTAAAATATATGGCATGATGACAACAAATTTTAAGATTTTAAGATTTATTTCAATATTTGAAAATACGATGATGTACGCGTGTATAAAATGAAGTTAATGCATGTTGTTAAACACTAGGTATTGTATTGAGAATGAACTTGGATTAAACTGTCGAGTTATCAACATGTTCACATCTACCTAGTAAATATTTCTTCTTTTGTTATTCTATAAATATGAGAGGCTGTTAAACTTTTATAAGATAAAAATCAGTGAAGTGTGAACAAGGTTTACCCCTATCAGTACTAGCCTATCTTTTACCTGTTTTACCGTACTTAACGTATATAATACACCTGTATTAATAATATCAATAAAAACATAGAAACAAAATGTGTACATGGGACCTTGGTTTTTTCGTTACCATCCAAATGACTATGCATTACCCCTTGCTAAGCCCTCCGTCCTGTACTACTGACACGGGGGAAACCACACCCAAAAATCCTTATGAAGATTCTCGATCAACACTGAGATCGAAAACAGGAACTCCAAGCTAAGACCCAATGTCTTAATCACTGAACCACCTTGGCTCCTTACACATTGGAACAAAAAAACTAATTAATAAGTCTCGAAATTTTCTTCCCCAGCACGTAACCATTAGTCTCATAACTCAAAGAAACAAGGGTTAGTGACCTTCCCAGCAGTCAGACACGTAAATATTAAAATAACATGGGTTAGTGTCCTTCCCAGCAGTCAGACATGGGTTAGTGTCCTTCCCAGCAGTCAGACATGGGTTAGTTTCAAAATGAGTATTGTATTGAGGAGATGTGTATATTTATTAGAATAAGTACGGTATATTATTATTTAAAAACAAAGGTTATTCAAACTGTACTTGAGAGTTTACCTGTAAAGACGATGGATGATTATTTGTATGTTTACATTGTTCTAATCACCTGTGATTGATATTATATAAATTAATATTAAAACCATGGTAACCTGGGATTATAAAACCAACAGGTGTAAGTTTATTTATGTATCCCACATCTTTACCTACCACTGACAATGTTTGAGGTAACGCGTCTTCTATTTTCAGAAATTTGAGCACCAGATTTCTGTGAAACATCCAACATTTTATTCTACAACTCGTCTGGGCAGAAATTTAAAAGATCGTTGTACGAAGAACGATCCAGAACGTGAGATCCTTCAGGATATGTTAGATCAATTGAAGAATAAGTGGAATTCCGTTCGATCAGTTGTCTCAAAAAGGTAAGAAATAAAATTTAAGCTCTTCTACACCCGGCCTGCTTACACTCATGTTATCCTAAAGAGACTTGATGATCCCAACATTGATTGATCTCTTTCAACCAGGATATTCTAACCCTCTTTGACTGTTGCGAAAATAAAATGTTCAATTGTGTTTGATTAGTGATTAAATCTTCATATCATCAGATTAAAAGGAAGTCTGTCTCTTAAATTGTTTTAATTTTTATAACTTTTTAGACTTAAATATAACCAGATATCCCCTAATTCTACCCACAATTAATCAAATTTATTTCAAACAACCACTTCTGTATTAGACAACATATGCTCAGTTTATTTTTATATTTTGCAGCTTTATATATTGTTATTTTACCTTCCTTAAATGTCTAGTAAATTACACCAAGTTTATATTTACGCTTATTCCTCAGTTTTATATGTTTTTTCAATATTGTAGTAATTTCTGTATATTTATATCATTTTGTAATTAGATTGGCGCAAAGGTATGTTTTATTTATGAACTTTGAACTCAGTGTTGCTTCTGACCTTGACCTATAAACATTTTGGTTACTATGACTACAATATAAAAGTACATGTAGTTATCAATTGGGTTTAATAGTTCTTTCATCATTTTCTCTTGTTTTTCATTTTAGAATTTTTATTGTTAGTTTTTTTTAATTTGGTTAGTTCTGTTTGCAATTTAGTTTAGTTCATAGTCCAGCTTTTTCTAGATGTGGCAAGACATTGTTTTATTCAAATTATAAGACATTGTTTTTGCTGAAAGTTTTGTTGGGTTTTTTTTGGGGGGGGGGGGGGAATTCTGTATTATTTTTTTCCTTGGCTTATTATTCTTTAATTGTTTTTTTTTTTCTAATTAATTTGAACAACGGGAGCTTTATTAGATGTGAATATTGTCAACACTTATCTTCCCCAGCTTTTTGTCATGTTTTAATTTCTGTTTGCTATTTTCAATGTTTTCCCCAATTTGTTTTGTCCCCAACTTCCCTGTTAATCGCTTTTGTTTGAGAGAGGGATCCATGTCCATTTTTTACACAGCTTGATTTTTCTAGAAATCCTGTTTCTAAATCAATCTGTAGAATACTACAGGTAAATTAAAGACACTCCCATGACACTAAATATCATTAAATCATTTTTAGTTTAGGCCTAAATCTACTGACAGGAATTAGGCAATGTTCCTGTGCAGTAGACCCCAAAACAAGTGTTTTTCTGTAAAATAGTTTCCAACAGAAACTAATATTCTTGGTTGTATTCGGTTGGGGACAAAGACTGTAACTTGTAACCACAAACTTAATTTTTGTATAACCAAACTGATCCCATTAACCCTCAAAATGACGATCCACTAAACAGTTGCAAGAAGCTTTAATGACAATCTGGTTAAAACACAGATCCTATTTCGTTTCGTTTTTATAGTTCAAAATTTCGTTTTACTTGTCTTTACTACACTTGGATCTGGAAGACTTGTTATTTAACTCGTGTTCTGCTTGAAATGAGGGGTCAGCCAATCAAATGGTCTGTCGAATCGAGTGTTTGACCTTTTTTGCCCGGAACTGTGTTTAATCCACTAGTAACATCAATGCTGATTGGTTAATCAAATGTCTGACATCATAGGTCAAAAGTCGGCCTTTTGACCCCTGATGGAACCTATCGCTATAACTTGTCAGATCTTCATGTAGTGTAGGCCATCGTAAGTATAAAAAAACGAAACGAAATATAGATGTGTATTTTAATCAGATTGGTTTAATGATGAAAACAGAGTTGTTAGTAGGGTTCACACACATGTGACGTCACACACATGTGACATAATACGTTAATTACCAGTTTCAAAATACAAGACAAGAGTAATAGTAACATGCATGACAGGAGTTGCAGGCAGGGTGTACTTGTAAGTTCTACAGGTGCAGGGTTATATAAGCTTACAGGTGTAGGCAGGTTTCAATCTGAAAGTGAAGAGATATACATCTAAATAAACAATTTAAACACTATTAATATTTACGATAGTTCATTGAGAATGTATAACACAAGAAATTGAGAAATTTGCAGGTGAAATTGACAAGAAAATATCAAACATCTTTATCAACAAACATCAGATCAGCTTAGACTCATTGTTGTTGTTTATTACAGATTTAACGTGCAATAGGCCTACAATAAATATGATATTATGGACAGGTTGATTTAATCAAATTATTTACACTTGAAAATTGTTAAAAACACAAAATAAAAAAGTCCTCATCAAAAGTTCCTTAAAACACGCTTATAAATTCGCAGTCATAATAAAGTTAAAACAGGAGGTCCAACTGACTGATGTTTGGCGTCATCAGAGCGGATGGGAAAAAGAATCCGCTGGCTTTATGTGGAAAAGCGAAGTGCTCGCAGTAAAAACCATATAGCTGGACCCGTAGATTATTTGCATATTAAAAGTGTTCATCCGATAAGTTTCATGTGGTTAAAATTAATTAAAAGTTAAGTTCAAGACGTCAAAGTTTAAAAAGTTATAGGCATTCCATTAGAGCTTTTCTTGCCTGCAGCTCTCCACAGATAAAAGTTACCTGAAAAGTCAGGTAGAGTCAGCAGCAACACACAAAAAAAACCCTAATAAAACATATATGATTCCATACGAAATATTTATAAGTTGAATTCACCACAGTAGAAGTATATAATGTTTGCCTTTAGAAAAACACTTAGAAACAATGGCTTCCATTGAGGATCGGCTGTTCATTTATTACACAATCACTGATTGGCTTACTGAAGCACTAAGCGCGGTTATCGTTGGTTAATTATAGTGACATAATAAAGTTCACTGATCGTTGAACCTAGACGGCCTACGAACTACACGCACAGAGTACTACACGGCCACTGGGGGTTGTTTTGGCTAGTGGGGTCGAACTTGATTCATAGCACTTATTGACCGGCTGAATTACATAATTGGCTTCTTTTTTTTTCATCAATTTGAATTTATTGGAGATGTCATGTGAATAGTCGATTTCAAAGTACTTTGACGAGTTTGTTAAATGCGCAAATTAGCTGTAAACAATTTTTGTTGCCAGACATGTTTGAAAAAACATGTAATCAAAAGATGAAATCGCACCTAGACGTGATTGGCGATTTGTGGTAATCGCTTCGGAAATCGGTGTCGATAAATTCATTGATTAGGGTAATCAATTTGAATTAGATGGACATTAAAGATGAAAATCTGATTGAATGCAAATCATCTTGGCTAATCAGTAGTGGATAAAAATGCCTAATGTTTTTTTTCTTCCAATTTTGAGATTGTCCAGAGAATATAAATCAACCATTCATAAGCTTTACACGGACGTTTTTATTTTTGTTTCTACCAATTCTCAACTCATCATAATTTAATTAAATCAACCTGTCCATAATATCATATTTCATGTATTTGACGTTAAATCTTTAATAAACCACAACAATTTTATTTATTAGTATATATACCTTGCACCGTTGAACTCAAGCTACTCTCAACTCTAATTTCACCCTTAAGGTAAAAAAAAAATCTGCAAAGTGTCGGATTCATTCTGAAACAGGGATATAATCTGCCTCTAAAAAACATACCTTAACTGTCTCTTTAAATTTGTTTGTTCAAAATAAATAAAACCCCATCTTCTAAACTAATCCCCAAAACAATTTTATTCTTCGTCTTGTCTTTTATCTTTTCTTGTCGTTCACCACACAAAAACATGGCCTTGTGCCAAACTTGGAGGCAAGGGGACCAATTGGGGTACATTTTTTCTAAAAATAAATAGCTGGTGATAAATTTCAGTAAGGCCTTGTTGTATATTTTATAAACTGTAATATATAGAGGTGCAATGTCCAGGCATGAAGATAACGGCCTTTTAAATGACCGCTTCTCAGTGTCAACTAGCAGTGATGTGGTATGGATGAGTGATTATCAATCTGTCCTACCGGTTCGTGTGTCACTCGACTCTGACTTCACGGCAATTCAGTGTCTCGTGTGTGTGTGTGGATGTAGTGTGTATTGATGGAGTATATCGGTGGATATAAGTTTTAGTATTAATTCATAACGTGTGTATTATGGCAGATAGTGCTAGTGATGAAGGATACGGGGAACAAAGATTTTATCCCATGCCGTCCTACATGTGTTATAGGTGGGTTGCTTTTAAACTTTGTATCTTTTTACCGTATATACATATACTGCACAGGAAATGGTCGCTTTAAAAATGGCTGCCGTGAGATGTTAACCGTGAGTTATACAGTATAAGCCTGTGTAGTCAATATTGATAATATTTTAATTAATGTTACACTATATGTACAACATTGTTGATACGTTGCTCCTGAATTAGAATATATTAAAGGTCGATCATTATAACTCAGGTATGAGAAGTTTACCTGATAATATCACAGGTGAGTTAAGTAGGTCAGGTATGACAATAGGTGAACATACCGTAACATCCAAGTTATTTCATACAGCTACATCCAAAAAAGGGGCGGAGGAACACATACTTGTTTGTTATAAAACCGTATTTATGTACACATATTAGCCTGAATTCACAGGCTCACGTGAAAAGATCGAGGCCTTTAATAATATGGATCTACAGCCACATCATTACAAACAACAAACTGTGAACAACTTTCTATCCAGTCGCCGAAATGACTGGTGGTTTACTTTATCTTAATATATCATTTTTGGGATACGTCTTCGAAAAATATGATATTAACTCGAATTGAAGTCACCATAAATAAAACGTTTTTAAATCGACTGTATTTTATAATCTTTATTGAATGAAATTGCGAGTGGAGTTTAGGACCTTTAAATTTTTTCAATAGATTTCGTATAAAATAGTATTGTAGAATAGTCAGTATAGTTTACAAGTAAACGTCAGTTTGAACCAGTAAATTTATTCATGGTTTTAACAAACTCGTGTTAAATATACAGTTTAATCTAGGGTCATGAAATAAATACGGAAGTTTTAAAAATACGTCACAGTAACCATAAATATGTTTCAAAAGTTAAACGGACAATACGTACGAAAGCTTAAACTACATGTATGATTTTAAATCTTAAAGGTAGGAAAGCTGGACCCCCTTTACGAATGCTAAACTATCTTTTTAAGTATATTTGACATACAAATCAATCATTTCAAACTCGTGACTGTAAAAATTAAAAAATGTGTTATGTTGATAAATCGATGATGTTATGTCATGGATTTTGACGATGACGTTACGATTACAGACCAATATAACTTACAATAAGATTGTAAGATAAACAGACGATTTTATCGTAATCAACCAAAGAGATGACATTAAATATTTATATATCTATACCATCCATACTACACACCATTCTATATAATAACATCATGTCTATACCATATATACATATACATACACGCCATTCTATATGATAACACTAAGTTTATACCACATGGTCATGAAGACTGGCAGGGGTGTATAAGAACATAATATTTATATAATTACCTATTTCAAGACTTATTGTCCCTGGTAATTGATGTGAATAAATTATAGGATTTTAATTAAATTGTTATAAATAATATAAATACACGGTATAATATAAATCTATGAACCATGTCGATGTATAAACGATGTATTATTCGTCATCTAATTGTTTTATATTTACTGTCAATACCAATAAAGTTTAACCACGAGTGGAATTATGTTGCTTCAAATCTTGTAATAAATGAAATAGAACATTAAGAGACATTCGTCGTTAAATATCCCTGCCACATTATTTATTTATTCAGTGGTATACTCATTAAATATACATTATTTATATTCTAATCAGGTGTGAATAATTTACCTGTATTTACACCTGTTTACAGGTAGAGGAATATATACATGGCGTATTGATATCTCAAGAGTTGAATAACAACCAGTAATTGATGAATAATATATTGACATCGTAACAGCTGAATGTCAAATCAAACCACGTCGTTAATAACGTAATACATTATAAACAGTACAAGGAATCTTAGAATAACACAAGCAATCCTAAACAACAAAGTTAGTAGCAAAACTGTCCGTAAAATACATAATCACAAAACAGGCGCCCATTGACAAAATAAAGGTCTATAGATGAACACAGAACTTGTTGTTGTCTTTCGGATGGAACGAAAAACCGAGGTCCTGTTTACTGTAACCATATTTTGTTGCCCAATAAACAACTGGATAAGACGCAAGTTTTACAACTTATAAAAGTCTTCTCCAATACATATATACATATTACATAAATGATATTAAATACATTTTTATATTAAATACCTATATACATATTACATAAATGATATTAAATACATTTTTATATTAAATACATACATACATATTACATAAATAAACTTAAATGATAATAAATACATTTTTATATCTAATAATATAAATCAAAATCATGACGTTACAATCAAAATGATTATTTAGGTAAGCATATTTCAATCAAACACGCCTTTTATTCAAAATAAACACACAATTCGAAAAACTATTCTAACGGATGTGCAGAACCATGATAGCACGTTAAATATCCGGTAGATGAGTTGGCCACAGACACGGCAAAATTCCCCTAGGCACACTGTAATGGGGTTTGTCCATTGGACGTGTAGAATGTTATTTTGGACAGGATCGAGTGAGTGTGTCAACTTGTGTATATGTATAATATGTATTGCGTCATGCAGTATATACAAGCCTACTATAGGGAAAGCTACGTTCATTGGTTTGATGAATAACAGTTTATAAAACACACAGCAAACCTTATATTCAGTTGTTTTACATGTGTATGAAATAGCTTTAACGTCCGCTTCCACCAACTACTTAAAGGTTGGAGGGAGCCGCTAGGAAACCTGGAGTTCTATCCCAGTGTTGGCTAAGAAACATTTTCAGTAGAGTGAGACGAGTGGACTGACAAGCAACAGTGACGACCGTGGTAGCATGTTAAATATCCCATAACAGTTGGGACATGACCTTAATGGCGCTGCCCCCCCCTTCTAGTATGTATATGAGCCAGTAGGTTAGTAGATAGTATAGACTAATTATAACTATACACACAGTAGACTATAGACGTATAGATATCAGTAAACTAACAGCTTATAGACGTATATGTAGTAAATTGATATAATATAGATATCAGTAAACTAATCATGCATAAAATTAAATAACTTGATTTATTAGATTTAGTTGGGATGTATGATATATTCAATTGAAACGAACTTCTGTAAATATGGCTCAAAATCAATTTGATGTTTTCCCGAAATGCTTTTAGCTTTCTACGAGTATAACACAGTTATAGACCAGTAGTAATTTTATCTATTTAAACCTTCGATCATTAATATAATATCTCCTTTAACTTTTCTACACTGTACATTAAACATAACGCCGCTGGTTTGTATAATGTTTACTGGTATAATACATTTGGGTTATAACGTGAATGGGACGGTAGTACAACCAACAGGTAATCAAATTACAACATCATGTACACGTACAAAACACAGCATATAAAACACATCATATAAAACAAGAGTCATATACACGTACAAAACACAACGTAAATACAGTGTTAAACAAAACATACATGTAACGTTATATTGATTTGAATAAAATAGAATCGATTCGAGTCTCATCCTCAAACTAAATTTGTTTTATTTGTGTTTAAAATGTGGTTAACCGGTTAAACTTGACATGACAAGGTCATAATATAACATGCATATTTCTACCATGATGTCATGACTTAATAACATTGCCTGTTCATACAAACACACAAGTAAATAGTGTTGCGAGGTGTTCTAGAAAGCATACACTGCCCAGTGGCATACACCCGTCATTAATGAAGCGATGGTTTGAACCAGAGTTTCTAAAAGCATGTGGTTAAAGGATAATGTCGAGGCGGCCACCAGAATCAACCGGTGAAAACTATTGACTATATGATTGTGGGTGGGGTGTGTGGAAATATCCTGACACCAGTAAACGGTGAAACAGTCATCAAATTGAGTTAAAGACTGTAGGTAGAATCATCGGAGTTAAAATTGGTCATTTTTTAAAAAGTAAATGATATTATAGAGTTGTTAATGGCTGTAGGGGCACATATGACGAGATCACGATACAGACATATTCTGATGTTACATCTTCTTCTATATGACGGTATGAAACACCCATTTTACACGGTACCTCAACCTATGCTTTCTTGGTGCATCAGACTATCAAAATTTATCCTTCTGGGCTAATGAATTACAGTCGCCAATTTTATATTGCAGCTTCGGAGTAAATCATGTCCAGTGTTGATCTCCCATTTCCAAATATACTTCTCGGAGTTCACGAGTTTAATCTGTAGTTACTATGTTAAATACAGATAAAATATACTTCTCGGAGTTCACGAGTTTAGTCTGTAGTTACTATGTTAAATACAGATAAAATACTGTGTAAAATATGTATATAGGATGTAACGTTATCACCGCCGTAAACAAATCTTTATTTACTTTTCTTCTGTCGTACATTGTTGGCAAGTTGTGACATAGAAAAACAATAACAGTTACAACTCTCTTATACAAATATTGTCCAACCCATCGTTAGATAAATAGTAGATGACCGAATACCAACACGGAGAATCAGCGGACATGCTCTTTTACTCAATATTCCAGAACGAATACTTCAACCATTGTTAAGCTTTGATGTACAAATGTTTCACCCAGTCGTCTGAAAGAGTTCCAGTTTCTATATGTATATTACGAAAACAATGAACACTTGGATATTATTAAATGTTACTTTAAAAACCAATAACGAAATAAGATAACGATGTACTACAGCCTGCATAAGTAGTCAAATACGTTAAAGATACATTATGGGAGATTCGATAACGAGTTGGCAGTTCTCACTATAATAGTTAGAAACTAGATAATGTAAAGGCAATTTGCTGAAAATTTCATTCAAATCGATCCACAATGAACCGAGAACTAAGCGATTGGAATTTCCGCCTAGCCTCGATCATCATTACTAGAGTCAGTACGATAACCAGCATAGATTCGATTATCCATTTAATCGTTAAATCGTGAAGGAAAGTTATGCAGTAAATCGGCTCATAATCCACTAAAGATCGCAGGCTAGCGGTAACATCGAGAGTTGATTATGGTCTAGATAAATTAATGTCTAATAATTTAGATAACATTTCAGGCCTAAAGATCTGCAATAGACAGATTTAGCTCTTGCATAATGTATGTTTAATTTAAATCTGTGTATGGAAAATAGTGCTAAAAAGGAATGGCCTTTCTCTAAATTCTACAAGACAATGTAGGCACTTGTAGGCACTACGGGCGGGACTAACCAATGAAGTTATTATATTTAACAATGTTGTGTTCGTCCCGACACAATATTCTCTACATGTTGTGTTCGTCCCAGACACAATGTTCTCTACATGTTGTGTTCGTCCCTGACACAATGTTCCCTATACCTACCAGTGATATGCAAAGACCAAAATTATGTGTGAACATGTGAACATGCACTGCAACAAAAATAGAAATTATTTGCGATAAAAAAAACCTTGTAATGGGCGAACTTTATTCAGTGTGAAGTATTTGATGGCGCACGTGGATCTTGGTTTCATCTCCTCGGGACTCTCGGTGCCAGGACCTGGTAAGGCATAATAGTCATTTAAAATTAACGTACCGATGAATTAAGGGAAGTCGATGAAGAGTATAATGAACATCCTAGCACACTTTATTAGCTCCGTTGGTGCAGAAGTGTTGAAAGTTAAACCCAATTTCATTTTAATTTGATGACGTCAAACCCTTCTAGTTTGTAATTGGAGTATATTAGCCACATGTAGGCTACAAGTGTTTTAAAGTGAATTAATTTAAGTGAACTGACCCTGAACAGAAACATGGGATTTGTTATTATAACAGAATATAAATAAAGTCGGTTTAGTTTGATGTATTATTCATAAGATATAGGATTAGGATGGCGACAGTGTTACAGCAGTCACCCTGAATGAACATTGCCACCATACACAAAACAAATGTGTTAAGATGATTAATATGATAGTAGAAAGATGAAAGTGACGTGACTTCACTGATATCGGGTTAAGTACTGCCCAACACCAGCTTATCTAGAAACGGAATCATGAGCTCGTCCAGAACCACCGTCTGAAATAGTATCTCCAGATAGTTCTGTCACATCCACACATAAATATAGAGATAATTTCACGTAGAGCTAGTTCTATTAAACACCATTTAATCCTCAACATCTCACCATTCTTTTACTTATTATATACTTATTGTTTTCACATTTAATAGGATTGAGACAGACATGTTCCTCAACCCAGGGGTTCTTGTATATTCAGAACAGGTCTTTGTTTTGATTTAATTAACACTTCATTAATATGACACTCTGTTCTAGTGTGAGTGTCAGCACTCAGCAGATTGATACGATATCTTGAACAATCATTCAAGATTAAACCAATAAGACCGTACCTTGTTATATTAAAAACTAAATTAAAAGCCATCCTAGCAACTTAAGTGCCTATTGGGGATCAGTGAATTTGTCCAGCTTTTGTTAAGGAATTGAGTCCCCAGGCTAAACTGGTCTCTATTTCAATCTATAATTATGTTCAGTGTAAGGATTACTATAAACATTTATTGTTTCAAATTTAATGTTTCGTTCATTTTGATAAGCTTGCCATATCCAACATCAACCAGAACACAAATAACATGTAACAACTGTAGCCGATGCTTTCGGCAACTGCCAGTGATGTATATATTATGTTAAATCATTTATTCACCTTTATGAATGAATAGATATTAAAATGGCTTAATGAGTTTCATTCTTTAAGATGGAAATCTTACAATGTTTCTCTTCATCATTATATATATATATCATTTTAATGGTTTATATCCATAAAGTATTTGATATTTATTTTTAATTTTATATCTGTGATATTTGTTTTTATTTATGGATATAAATATTTTTTTTGTGATTTCTTTTTTTTTTGTCTCGAATACTTAATCATATGTTTGGCGCAATATAGCCCGGTTGGAGCTGATGTGCCATAAAACCACATTTCATTCATTCATTTCGTGATCATATTTTATTATAATCAACACTTGTCTTATTTGGATAACATACTTCCATATAGTTCCCGTACAAAGTAAAACTCCGTTCCAGATGAACTGTCATGTATACACAATTGCACTCAGTTATTTGAAATATTTTCCTTTACAATAATAATTGTGTCAAAAGATTGAAATCAGATAGCATGGCAAATGAACGAATCCGTTAAAATTGTGCATTTAAACGATGGTGAAACTATTTCTGTGACGCATGTGTTATCCACATGTCTGTGGTGACATCCTGGGTAGGACACCCTGCGATTATCTTATCTAAATATTATCATTTTAAACTACAGGGGATGTCCCTTACTGCTATAAAAACACGGCGACATTAATTAGTAGGCATGCGGTCAATATATCAACATGATGAAGTCATTAATAATGGAGGACGAGTTCCACGATGTTAACCCGAGTTAATTATGCAACGAGGTCTGTGATTGGTTGACCTGATGGGTCATAAGGAATTGTAATCGTCCCTTGTAGTTTATTATTTCACGGTTGCTGTCAATCTCTGGAACTTGAGAGTATAATGTGACAGGTTTAGTAACGATCATGTGATGACGCTGTGATGAATGGCGACAGGTTTCTTATTACGATAGAATCACACAGTACCTTGACAGAATGACAGAAAGGACACCCAATAACTACCACGTTGCTATTTAAATATCGTGTCAGAACCGATTGAAGAAAACGTATTTAGCGACTTAATTAATTAGTACTGAATTATAATTATTGTTGCTTTGGTTTTATTTTCTAAAATTCGGTAAATGTGAAAAAAGAATAACATCGGTCTACACTAGTGCAAACCAAACTGTAGAAAACGTATTTAGTGAATGGTCTACTATTGGATTTTAATAACTTTTTTTTAATGTTATTTTCTAAAATTCGGTACCCCCCCCCCACCCACACAACATATAGATTGTAAAGGGATTGGCTACGTGAATTAAACATGTCCGATCTGTGTATATCTGGAATATGGCCGCTTGGTTTGGATTATTACACATGTTATTATAAATCAGGGTAAGCTGTTTCAACACCTCAAATATTGTTTTATTATTTTCTAAGGATTAGTTACTATATGTTTCGTGGAATGTGTCTTAGCAGAAGTATAATTGAATGTGTTTTAGCTCAACTATAATTGAATGAGTTTTAGCTGAAGTATAATTGAATGTGTTTTTAGCTGAAGTATAATTGATTGTGTTTTAGCTGAAGTATAATTGAATGTGTTTTAGTTGAAGTGTACTTGATCATGTTTCAGCTCAAGTAAAATTGATTGTAAAGTATATGTTTTCTTTTCAGTTAGATTTATTTATGATTCTGTTTAGGCCGTAATTTATACATTTGTCATTTCTGATTGTTAACCTTCTATGAACATCTGGTACCACTTTCCATCAAGTGATTACCTTTTGTTTTTTTCGTATATAAAGAGACAAGATAGGCCTTTGGGAAATAGTTGAACTGATTTTAAAGAAATTTTGGTTGAAAATCAAATGCTTTTTATTCTCATCTGATTTTCAGCTAAAATTATAAAGATATATATTTTAAAATACCTTTTAATTTGAATGTGTTTATTTTAATGTTTTTCAGTCAGAACAAACTGGATGAAGCCTTGTTAACGTCAGGCCGTGTGTCCGACGCTCTCCAATCATTAATAGAATGGCTACACAAGGCCGAAGCTACACTAGAGGAAGATGTACCTGTTCTAGGAGATCTCGATACAGTTCATATGTTAAATGAACAACATAAGGTTGGTCTAGTTTCCATTAAACATCAAATCATCAACAAGCGGGGTTGGGTGGCCGAATGGTTACCTCGTGGGTTTTCTCCGGGTCCTCTGGTTTCCTCCCACTGCTAAAGTATGTGCAAGCAAAGTATTAAAATAGAAATTGAACCATATGTTAGTCCTGAAATGACCTTGTTTGTATCGAGTGGACATTAAACCTCATTTCTCTCTCTCTCTCTCTCTCTCAAATCATCAACATGTAGTGAAGACTTTGTATTACTGAGAATGCCTATCTATAGTACGACATGAGCCACGGTGGCTAAGGGACTAAGACGTTGCCTCGGTAACCTGGAGGTCCTGTGTGTGGATACCTGTATTGGGCAGGAGAGAGAGAGTCTGGCAAGGGATGGAATGAAAAACTGAGGTCCCTTGTACACATTGAGTAGGCCATAACACCGCTGACTGGGCAAAATTTCCCCTCATAGCATACTGTATGGTGAATACAGAACATTAGGATGTTAAACCCCATTTCATTTCTATATATACTACCGTTCTTACCACATTCCATAGTATTCCTGTTGTTACTCAAGGTGAAGAAGAATATTTCATGTATTTCAGGGTATACAACAAGAACTTCTAGTTCGTGAACCAACTGTTGAAACAATGAGAACATCTGGTAACGTTCCAAAATCACAGCAAGAAGAACTGAGCAATCTGTGGGAACGAGTCAACTATCTGTCGGATGTACGGGATAATAAACTTAAAGATGCCATGAGATTGGTAAGGATTCATTTAATTTCCTTGAAATATATTTATACCAATATATTTGCTAAATTACCCCATTGGATTTTTTGTTCCTCCATTTAGGATCCTGTATGTTTTCTGTGAGTCTGGTGTGTCAGTGAATAACGCTAAGTAACCAACAGGTTCGACCCCTGTGTTGGCCTAGAAAGTTTGTTGAGAGTTTTGCAGCCTAGTTGCCCCGTTGTCAATGTTTCAGGACAAAGTGAGATCCAACCATGTAGTCATTATAGCGTGCATGTAAAAGATTCCTTGACAGAACACATAGCACAGTGTATACCTGTCTACATAGCACAGTGTATGGTATACACCTGTCTACATAGCACACTGTATGGTATATACCTGTCTACATAGCACACTGCTATAGCTATACCATCATGAATTTAATTCATGACAGCAATGCCATTAAATTAACTCCCCCATACACAAGTGAATTTGAATATTATTGTGTTTTGTAGGCTGAGGAATTCCAGGATGTTGTCACAGTAATGAGAGAATTCTTGCCACAAGCTGAATCTGAGTTAAAATTCCGAGCTTTCCCAGAAGATGAGGTTGCCATTATACAACTAATAGAACGGCACGAGGTAAGAAAATTACACCACCTTTATTTAAACTCCTCAAACAAGAAGTGGTATAACATGTTCCGTAAAGAGAAACTTGTATGTCAAGGTAGATCAAGTTTATTAATATAAAACTTTGTTAGCAATGTGAACTTCTGTGAAGCGAAATGGTATCAGGGATTCCAGACAGTATACTCTGCTTTGTGCATGACACATGCCATTAATTGTAGGTGAGGGTTGACCATGTATTTTAGATCAACTTGAAATACTTGCAGAGAGGGAGCCCCTTGGTGGCCCAGAGGTTAAGGCGCTGGCTCGCTAATCTGCAGGTCCAGGATTCGCTTCCGTAGTTGACAGAGAAAGTTCCTCAGGATTGTTTCCCCCATTGCCCAGGCCTGGAAATAACGGTTTTAGATGTACCTGACAAAATGTCAGACACTAATGAAATAGTACCTTACATTTTTGACTTAGTGCCGGACATGTATTAATAATATCAATAAGAAAGACAAAATCAGTGCTGGACAAAATGATAGGCACCAGAGGTTTAGCCTGACATTGTCTGTGACAGGTGCCTTATTTCCAGGCTTGCCCTTGTTAGTGATGTGGGATGAAGGGCCTGACAAGGAACAACATGTGGTCTTTGGTGTGCATGTAAAAAAAAAACCTTGACAATTGGATTTCAATTGCTGTCCAGGCAAATTTTCTCTCATAGCACACTGTATGACGTATGTCCGACTTCATTAGCTCAGTATAGGAGCATAACAATAGGAATTTAAACACTATTTAATTTCATTTATTGTAGAAATTCCAAGAAGACCTGAGAAATCATCAAGACACTGTTGACAGAATAAAAACCCTCGCTGAAGATATTTTACAGGGTTGTCATCCTAACGCTGTTCGTTTCGTCAAATACTACCTCACTATTACACAAACAAGATGGGATCAGGTAACCATGGCAACTATTCAATACAATCATATCAATTGCCCCCCTTGACTGTTAAAATAATAAGAATAATTACAATTATAAACCCCATTACTGCCGCGATTCATTTGCTTTTTTTTTTTTTTTAATTGATTCGCTTGTTTGAACAAATATTTTTAAAAACATTGACTTGCATCCTTCAAGCTTGATATAGAACAGTAGGAAATATTATATTAAACTGGGGGGTTGGATGGCCGAATGCGCGCTGTATCATAAAGTCTGTCATTGAGTTAACTGGCATGGTTTTGATTCCCTGTCCAACCGGTTTCCTCCCACTGCTCAAATTATGGAAATAAAATTGAACCATATGTTAGTCCTGAAATGACCTAGTTTGTGTCGAGTGGACGTTAAACCCCATTTCTCTCTCTATATTAAACCTCATTTCATTTCAATTGATACAGAAATAACATGAACATTAGGAATATTAGTTATTGTTTTAATTGACAAGAACTGTTTATTTTACCAGTTGATACAGCGAGCCAAGAGTCGAGCGGACAGATTACAGGAAGCGTTACGTAATATCCAGGGTAACGCAGCGTTATTAGAAGAACTGTTGTCATGGTTAACAGATGCCCAGTCATTACTTGCTACCAAAGAACGTGATCCGATACCAGAGGATCTAAAAGTGGTTGAAACCCTTCTTAAAGAACATTTGGTAAGATAGCTTAGATCATTTTCTTCTAAAATAAAAAATACAGGATTAAATTCTAAATGTAATGTTGATGCTTGGTCAGTTTATTAAATATATTATTTCTCTATTCTTGATATTGGTGTACTCAGGGCCGTAACTAGCTCAGAGCAACGAGGAGGTCGGCCCCCCAGTTACGGGCCGGGTTCTAAGCTATAGTTTTTGTGAAGCAGAAAGGTACATGAAACAGTTTATTGAAGTAAGAAATTTTATTTTCAGATTATTGTCCTATTTGCATTTCTCTATTGAACGCCATAATTCTAGATGTTAAATTTAATTTTCTCTACTTGCAGGAATTCCATGATGAAGTGACAACTAGAAATGCTGATGCTGAAAGATTAACAAAGTTGGTTACATTGGAAGCAAAAATGTCACCTGGTAAAAACTTTGGCAGGTAAAAATTTATTTTGATATTAAGTTTTAACTTACTGCCCTTGACATTAATTTATAAATATTTTTAGCCTCAAATGTTATATAAATTATTAATTCACATTTATTCACATGACAAGCCTATAATCAATTCTCTGGACCATCAGAATTTATACTTTTGTTCACAATAAATATAAAATAAAACCAAGTATGAACTTTATTAAGTCCTAAAAAAACGGTCTAGGCAAAATAGTGTAATCAGTAAATGGACTGTTAACTGTGTACAAAATACAGGAATTGGTCTGAAATTTGAAAGTATTATAGCGAGAAGTTGGTTTGTTTTATATTTTCTAGTAATATGAGATTAAATGAAGTGGATGCTTATAATCCAAGAGTAACAGCGTTACAGAATAGATGGAGAATAGTGTGGAGAATGTCCGTCGATAGGAAGAAAAAATTACAAGATGCGTATGATACTTTATTAGAGGTAAAAATATATCTTAAGATATTGATGATGTCATCGGTATATTATAATTAAATTTTATAGTCAGATATTTTGTGGGTTGTTTAAACTAAAAAACTATTAAAGAACAGTAATTTGTTATGTGATGGGTTAAACAATAAAATTCTGACAATCGTTCCTTATATAAGAACTGATATCCTCTCAAGGTCTCATATAACAGCAGAATTATCCACTCCCTGATATCCTCTCACAGTCTCATATAACAACCACTGCCTGATAATCATCAGTATAACTGTTACGTAGAGAGACAACAGGTAGATACAGATAGCATACCCTACCTTTTACACACATGCTTTCATTTTCTTACTTTCACTTTATTTTTCAGTTGGAGAGTTTTAAAAACTTTGATTTTGATGTTTGGAGATTGAGATACAAAAAATGGATTCAAGCCAAGAAATTTCGAATATCTGATTTTTTCCGTCGCCAGGATAAAGACTGTGATGGTGCTTTAAGTCGAGATGAATTTGTTTCAGGAATGATGCAATCTAGTAAGATATTAATAAGCTGGAAACTGTCATACTTACAAAACATTGTAGGGGGTTTGTCTGATAATAATCTCAAGTTTGTACAACAAGAGAGGTAGGGGCACCTGTCCAAGACCACGAATAATGGTGCCTGTCCAGTCACATTGGTTCTCTCTTGGCTCTCTGCCGTCCTCCCATATACAAGTGAACTATTGGAATAAAATTGTAGCCTACATATATCAGTCCCTTGAACACAATAGAATGTAACCTATCAGTGGTATACTATCACCCACCAGAACCAATACAGACAATTTGATTAGTCAAAAAGATAATGTGATCTGAATACCATTACCGTACAGACAATTTGATTAGTCAATGTGGTCTGAACATCGTCTTCAAGGAAAATTTGTCCGGTTGTCATTAGTAACGCTTGTTTTATACATGTTAATTTTTTTTTTTTTTTTCATTTTCAGAATTCCCGACAAATAAAACGGAATTAAATGCAGTGTTTGATATATTTGAGAAAACTGTTTTACGGAAACCGAGAATGGTTTATAAAGAATTTATTGATGCATTGAAGTCTGACAAGGTAAAATAAGGTCTTTTACATTTCACTAGAAACACAGAGCAAATGAAAGGGAAATAAAAAAGTAAATTTTTTGTTGCCCCCGGCGTTAAATTCTCATGAATTATAAAGTCCCTGAGATGAATGTGTTTTTTTTAGCTTCACCACCATCATAAACAGAAGTGTTGCTAATTAGAATTCTGTTCTTCTATGACTTATTACCTGTTTATCAACAACTAATTTTGCCAACCATAAGAAGTGGACTGTTTAATGATAATAAAATATATATACCCCATTTATATCTAAACATTGTAACAAAATAAAATAAATGATTTATTTTAAAATATCTGTTGAAATTTGTAATAATTTTGATTTGTAGAGAGGTAGAAAATCAAGTGTAACAACCAATAAATCTGATGCTGAGTTAATCCATGATGAAATAGAACGAGATGTGTCTGGATGTCAGTGTAGAAATCAGTTTAAGGCTGTGTATTTAGACGAGGGAAAATATAGGGTGAGTAGCCATGTATAGAATCGCGTGAGAAAGTACACGTTTTCTATATGATGTAATGCAAGTCATTTGTAACATTTTAAGGAAAAGATGGACGAATAACGATTTATCACTTAAAGGACAACGTTGGTGTCCACCATTATTACATATTTGATATAACTTGTTAAATACATTAACACAGAGTTCATTGCTACGGTAGATGTGTAATGAAGATTTAAAGAAACGCTAAGTGACGCAAACAATGGAAATTATGACTTATTTCTGCTCACTGATAATTTCTTCGAAGATAAAAAGTTGAATGGTTAGCATGTGTACGTTGTACGTGAGTAACGTGACAAGTCAAAAGGACTATTGTCATCTGTCCAACCTCGTGGGTTTCTATGGGTCCTCCAGTTTTCTCCCACTGCAAAAAAACCCTACGCGCAAGCGAATTAATGAAATAAAATTGTACTACATGTTAGTCCCGAAATTACATAGTTTGTGTCGTGTGGACCTTAAACCCCATTTCTCGTGGGTTTTCTCCGGGTCCTCTGGTTTCCTCCCACTGCTAAAGACCCCTATGTACAAGCAAAGTATTAAAATAGAAATTGAACCATATGTTTGTCCTGAAATGACCTTGTTTGTATGGAGTGGACATTAAACCTCATCTCTCTCTCTCTCTCTCTCTCTCTCTCTCTCTCAATATAATCAGTATAAGTAATAATCAATTAGTGCAGTTAGAGAAATGGAAATAATAATCAGGGACTGATTGAATACATATTTATTGAAGAATCGTTTTCAATTTTTATTTTACAGTTTGGAGAGAAACAGAGAACATATTTAGTGCGATTTTTGAACAGCACAGTTATGGTGCGTGTAGGGGGAGGGTGGATAACTCTTGAAGAATTCCTAGAAACTAACGATCCCTGTAGAGGTAAGTCTAGTCTATATTTACATAGCAGAAATTTGAGTTATTATCCCTCACCTTTCGAAGAAAGCAGGGGACTATTAAAATGTGTCCGTCACTTTCTTTTTGGGACACAATAACTCTTTCTAATTGAGCTAGAATGTTTAAACTTGCCTTGATGGAGTTCGAAGATGAACAATGTCTGCTTATGGTAAGCAGAGATAAGAAATTTGATTGGTTTATGCTTTGGAACACGTTAACATTAGTTCTAATTAAGTGAGAGTGATGAAACGTGGTGTATAGTTTAATTACATCATTACCTTGACTAAGTTCGATATTGAACATTTTCTGCTGAGGGTAAGCAGAGTGATAAGCAATTTGGTTGGTCGAGACTGGAACACAATATGTGTCATCTATTTATTTTGGGATTTCGACGGTGGACATCAGCCTCACTGTTGGCTTGTTTTATTTAAGAAAGAACGACAAATATTGCATATATATTTTTTTTCATATAAAAATTGATATGTTTAGAGAATTGTTAAAAAAAAAAAACATTTAATTTTTTTGTTTGGTTATTTTAAGGATATGGTAAGTTTATTTTTATGTCCCATTTTGATAAAAAAAAATTCCCGGGCTTTGATGGTTTTTTTTTTCTTAAAATACTTTTTTTCTTCATTAAATTATTGCATATTCTCCCCCATTTGTGGGTCTTTAATTTTCCCATAATCCCATTTTAAAAACTAATAATTATTATAGTTTTTATTCCCAGAATTTTTTTGTTTTATAAAGATAATTATTTTGGTTTTGGGAAGTGTATAGTATTGTTGTTGATGGGAAGTGTATAGTATTGTTGTTGATGGGAAGTGTATAGTATTGTTGTTGATGGGAAGTGTATAGTATTGTTGTTGATGGGGTGAATGAATGATGGTGCATAATGATGCTTTAAATTGGCTAAACCTCTTTAATTTACATAAAAAATTAATGTTGATTTCGTTGGATGATGATAGGTTGTGTTTATATTCAAATAATTCATACCGTTAGAATATTACGCTTAAAAATAAATTTATCGATTTTATTGGATTGTACATGTAGATGTTGATTTCTTTTGTGGGATGATCATTTTTCCTCATTGAATAATTAACGCCTATAGATAATGTCAGTGTTTGAGATGTAACAGGTTTCCGACTTTATGTTCCACTGTCAACAAAGTAAGCCCCTCCCCTCTCCACAATTTATAGCCAACTCACAACTGTCAAAATAAAACCTGAATCGATTAGGGCTTGTATCTTCACAAATTGAAATAACAATTGAATATTTTGATGTAAATAAAAGAGGTTTAACTGCTTTAAGCTTGTGATTGGTGATTGGAGTATCGGATATTGAATTGAACAAGTACTGATTGATGTATCCTGGCACGCGTCATTAACAATTCTCTCTCGAAACATCCATTTTCCAAGATATGTAACCATTTGAGTAATGAATGCGTCTATGTGCTTGTTGAGTTTAATATGGTAGATCAGTGTTTTATGGATGGTGCTGAATTATATGTAAAATAAATTGCAAATCTACGTACATTCTAAATATGTTCCTAATTTACAAAATATATTATTTATTATTTATATATGACCAGGGATGACTTTAGAAATCTTCTTGTCCTGTTAAAATAAACTTGATTTATTGATTAAAATACTGTTAACCCATTTAACGCCCAGACTTTGGTCATCAGATGCTATGTAAGAATTCAAGAACTAAATCTGTGCTCTAAAGGGTTAATATGAGAAATAATAAATTTTAAAGCTGGTGATCGTTATTTGAGGGATATTGAATCTTGTGTAAATTACAATATTGTGAAAGTACGTACAGTGAACTTCCCAATATTATTAAATTTTGTACAGTATTTAGAAAGATGAATAGACAATATACGATGAGCGGCTTTAAAGGCTATACCCTGTAAGACCCATGTCTTCCTATATCAACATATTTATATACAATGACCTTTAGAATTAAACAACATGAAACATATAATATTTATATACAATGACCTTTAGAATTAAAATTTTAGTAAAATAGATTAGTCTAATAATTCTGTACTTTTGATATTCAGCCACAAAACAATTTTTCAGTCACCTGACTATTTACATAATTTCATCCCATGAATTATTTTTATTTCCCAGAATTCACTTTTATTCAAATTCATAAAACTATTCGTATTTTTATGCGGATGATTTTTAAGCACAAATAAATTAAATATCTGAAACTTTCAAAAGTGCATGTGAAAAAACAATATATTGTCTACACAAAAAACAAATATCAAATTTGTATGATATTTCAAAATTTAGAATTTATTTATTTGAAAATTTGTTTTATGGCTGTGCAGTTCAAACATCCAGTGTTTAACCTGTGTATAATTAACTTAACCATTATAATCTATACAGCTAGAGGGCGCTTAAATGTTGACCTGCGGGATACGCTACTTCCAGACGGAACAATTGATTATAGATCTAGTCGCAGAGGTAGTGGAACACCGCTACGCAGCACATCGCCATTTCCTACTGGAGCCAGCAGAAAACGACAGACTGACACCGGATATGCATCATCGAACTCTTCAGGTAGCTTATGTCTTGACATGTCATGCCAGAGTACAATAAATCAGATTGCATCATTCCGTCTGCACAAAGGCAATATTAATCTGAATAGGAGTTATCTCCTCGTTGATAATAATTTGTTGCATGCTAATATTTAATATATATATACATATTGTAACTTATATTGCATGCTTTATATATATAAATAACATAAAAGGGTGTAAAAAATCTGTTTGCTTCATTTATAACAGCCATAATCTCGATTCTTTTTAAATGTTTTCAATTGTCACTAATTGGAACCAAATCTAAGAAGCTTTCAAAGTTTTCAGATATTTGGAATTGCTCTTTGAAATAATTCAATTTTGATTCTTAATAAATGTAACCTTTAATATTTTGGCTTGGGTACCAGCAATTTTGGAATTTGAACTTTGAATCTTTGTGAAGATTTTTAATGTCGAGATCTGTTTAAATGTCTTAGGAATAATGTTACATCACCTATTTAAACACAATATACCCTAATTTGTAAGACTACGGTGAAATACCCTATTTACTAAGGTGAAATACCCTATTTGTTGTGTGTCTGTTTCCCATGTAGCATGCTCTTATTTTCCTGTACAGATGTAAGGAATCTATACTGAAATGGACTCCATGCTTCCTTTCACCTTGCTTTTATTTCCATTGGGCATGTTGCATTTTAACTTTTTCCTGATCATGAATATTTTGGATTTAATAATTTTAACCCTCTGTACCCTCCTTCCATTGTCTGTCTCTGTACCCTCCTTCCATTGTCTGTCTCTGTACCCTCCTTCCATTGTCTATCTCTGTACCCTCCTTCCATTGTCTGTCTCTGTACCCTCCTTCCATTGTCTATCTCTGTACCCTCCTTCCATTGTCTGTCTCTGTACCCTCCATCCATTAATATTCACTTTTCCTCATTTCTTTGTTTTTCATGACCATTTCAATTTTGGTATTTTATCATTTTTCATGCTGTTTACACCAATATTCTGTTACCTGGCAACTATTTTTCTGTTGTCTGGCAACATATCTTTCTGTTGCCTGGCAACAATTTTTCTGTTGTCTGGCAATCTATCTGTTTTCTGGCAACCTATCTTTCTGTCATACTGTCTACACCAGTAGTCTCTGGGCGTATGTTTTGTTGTCTGGCAACCTATCTGCACCAAAATAAGATGGAAGTAGAAAAATAAAAGTGTAAGAGGATTTGGGGGTATCTTTATTAGGATTATTTCAATGGGTATGTCTATTAGGGTTATTTAGATGATGTGGAATTGTGTATCTCTATCAGGATTATTGGATGGGGTGGAGTCAGGGTATTTAGAAGAATTGACCTTTGAGATCTTTCAAGTCTGTTTGAAGGATGACATCATGATTGGCACAGAGTTGAGCAGACTTTTTGTCTTACGTTCAAACTTGTAAAGAAAAAGATGAACAATTTTACTTTTGAATATGATTTGCTTTCAATAATTATACTCAAGGTACAAACGGTCAGATTGAACAAATAGTAATAAATATAGTTTAACCTCACTGAAACTTGCCTATTAAAATGTTCGATCTCTTAACCTGAAACATGGCTACTGTTTTAGGATGATATTTATTTGTTATTTCATGATTCAAGGATGAGTACAGTTTTTGTTTCAAATCCAAAATCTTCAATAAATAACAACCATGTTATCATTTTTATACACCCACATGGAAATGTGGACAGATATTGCTGTCTCCGCCGTCCACAATTTCTTGTGATCCGATTGTTTTAAAATTGATATGTTATTGACATTAGTGACATGAAGAAGCCTATTTAATTTCAGCAATTTCTGTTTATTACGTTTAGAGTTCTGGCCCTTGTTTCACTTTATTGAACCTTGTGAAGGCTCTAACGCCAAAAGTTGTCATCCGATCTTTATGAAATTGATATGCATAATTTGAATTAGTGCAACGAAGACGCCTATTGAATTTCAGCAATTTCACTTAATTACTTCTAGAGTTATAGCCCTTGTTTCACTTTGTTGTACCATGTAAACGCTCTAACATCTTAAGTTATCTGCCGATCTGTATGAAATTTATGTGTCATTTAAATTAGTAAAAGGAAGAACCCTATTGAATTTCAGCAATTTGCGTTTATTATGTCTAGAGTTACGGCCCTTGTTTCACTTTGTTGCACCCTGTGAATGCTCTAACATCTAAAGTTATCTGCTGATCTGTATGAAATTTATATGCATCAATTAAATTAGTATAAAGAAGAATCCTATCGAATTTCAGCAATTTCTGTTTATTATGTCTGGAGTTATGGCCCTTGTTTCACTTTGTGAAACCACAAAGCCTATTGAATTCCAGCAATTTACAATAATTACTTCTAGAGTTATGGCCCTTGTTTCACTTTGTTCAACCTTGTTAATGCTCGATTGATGAAAGTTATCTGATATGTATGAAATTTATATGCATCATTTAAATTTTTGAAACGGAGGTCTATTGAATTTCAGCAATTTCCGTCAAATATTTATAGAGATATGGCACTTGTTTTACTTTGTGAACCTTGTTTTACTTTGTGAACCTTGTGAACATTCCAACGACAAAAATTATCATCCGATCTGTATGAAATTCAAATGCATTATTTAAATTAGTAAAACGAAAAAGCCTGTCAAATTTCAAAATTTTCTGTAAATTAATACTCCCAGAGTTAAGGCCCTTATTTCAGTTTGTAGAACCTTGTGAACCCTCAAACAACAAAAATTATAATCTGATCTGTAAGAAATTGTCTTGTAAATGTCCCCAATTACCTACAAAAGATGGCTCGGACGATTTAGCGGCTGTGGGCTTATGTTTCATTGCCTGGCAACCTATCTTATTCAATGCTTTTAATGATTTAACTTATGCAAATAGCATGTGTGATGTCACTGAAACTAACCAATAAAATTGTTTGTTTACAGCTGGTAGTTCTGCTGATACCACTTTACGCAGAAGTCGTATCACATCTTCTATGGTTAATTTATCTAACGCTAACGGTTTGCACAAAAACCCTGATTTTGGTAAGAATCTTCTCTTTTTGCTTCCATTATTAACATTTTTGTTTTACTGCACCATAGCATATAAAACCTTTATTGATGTTATTAGAATATGCCTAGCTGATTTATATCTTCAGTTCTGTAATAACCAAATGAAATGGTTTTTAACGTCAAACTATTCATCACTTCTATGGCCTACTCCTTATTTCAAACTGCATTTGTCAAAAGTTGTTTTATATGATAGTCAATGAGTACACAGGACTGAATAGATTAGTCACTGTTCCTTGCCAGACCCCACCCACTCCACCACCCTGTAGTCCCCCCCACCCCTCTCCACCACCCTGTAGTCCCCCCACCCCTCTCCACCACCCTGTAGTCCCCCAACCCTCTCCACTACCCTGTACTCCCCCCACCCCTCTCCACCACCCTGTAGTCCCCCTTCCCCACCCACTCCACCACCCTGTAGTCCACCACCCTCCCCACAACCCTGTAGTCCCCCCACCCACTCCACTACCTGTAGCCCCCCCTCCCCCTGCACAACCCTGTAGTCCCCCCTCCCCACCCCCTCCACTACCGTGTAGTCCCCGCTCCCCACCCACAACCCTGTAGTCCCCCCTCCCCACCCACTCCACTACCCTGTAGTCCTAGTTTAGTAAATACAAGTAAAACGAAATGTTGAACTATAAAAAAGCAAAAGGATCTGTGTTCTAATCAGATTGAACCAAATGTTGGCAGATTTGTTTACTTTTTGTTTTATTTTTTTTAATTCTGTTTTAGGTTCTACAGGGAGTTTAAATCGATCCAAGCGACTCAGTACGTCCTCAACTAGTTTACATTCTAACGGTAACGCTCGTCCTAAATCAAAAACACCCACCCCGGGTTCTAGTCCCGCCACTAACCCAACAACTCGTAGATCAGGTTCCATGTTCCCCAGATCTATGACACCAACGCCTACATCATCATCACCTTACAGTTCCAGGTCACGACCAACAACACCTACAGCATTTTCACCAAAAACGACCTCAACCCCATCTCGACCCGGAAGTACAACCCCAACAAGAGGTTTAGCAAAAACTAGACAGTTACCGAAAACTCCTGCTAGTGGACATAGGTCAATGAACCGATAGGTGAACTCCCAGTTCTTTAAAACAAAGAAAAAAACAAAAAAACAAAAAATACAAAGAAAAAACAAAAAGAGCATTGTTTCTTGTTTGATCATTGTGTTTATTGTGGTAACCATGGCAACAGCAACGTCAGATTCAAGACTTATTTAAAGCCAAAAATCAAATGTTTTTATAAGAATGTGTATGCTACGTTAGTGCAGTAGAGCAGATAAGATAATGTAGAATATTTATACTTGATCTGATAAATCATCCATTATTATGTGTTCATATACTATGCAACCAAAATAATTCCAATATGGAGGGGAGGACATCTGGAATTTTTTTTGAATTTTTTTTTTTTTTTTTTTACAAACCATATATTTGATTGTCTGATAATGGTGCTTTCTCTTCAAATACTGTTCCATTCCAAACCAACGGTGCTTTTGACATTTTGACAGAGTTACTCCCCCTTAATGCAAGAGTTACCTCCCTTTGTGTGTTTTTTGTTTAGAATAGAATGAAACAATCCTGTAAGTGTAATGTGTAATATATAGATTACTGGAAATATATAATTAACTGGCACTAACTAAAAAGGATCCCTTTCAGTGATGCAAACTATTAGGGGCAATAACTCTGTCGATATGGTTCTATTATAGATTTAAGGTACCGGTATGAAAATAAATGAGAATTGTTTATTGGGAATTTACAATTTATAGTGCATGTACATATTGTATTTAGTTCGTTAGAATTATTTGAAATGTTGTGCTGGGTAAAATAAGATTTGGTGGGGAGGGGGGTTTCAAGATTTGCCAGCCTAGAAAGAACCATATCACGCCTTACTGTTGATACTTGATCATTTCAAATCATGTAGTACAAATATTTTTATTAATTCTACAATTTGAATGATGTTATAAGAAATTTGGAGAGATGAAATCATGTCATTAAATTAGACAATAAATATTGCTGTGTTTAGTTAGGGCAACATCTACAAGTTACTATTTCTAAAACAAATAATCACTGATTACAATTCCAGCGGTTCGGAACATTCAGGGCTAACAATCGAGCAGTTTAAAAACCCACCTTTAATACCACTGCCACCCCCAACAGATATTAACGATTAGTAATAATATATTAGGAATCATCGCTCCAGATCAGGTCGTAGTCTTCCGCCTCTGACATCCAGGTTCAATCCCTTGCTCCAGATCAGTCGGTATCACATATTACAATAGGCCTATATCATATTACAATGGGCCTATATCATATTATTATAGGCTTGATCAATATTTAAAATATATTTTTATACATTTTTATACAATTAGCATTCCATAAAGTTTATTTTAGCATTCCAGTATGTGAAGGATGACTGGATTCAGAGATTGAAGGTCATTTCAGATTTTTATATATTAGATATCTGAAAGCGTTCACGCACTAGTTTGAATTTATGAAAAGTTTTGAAAACATTTTTATATTTAAAAAAATCCATGTATACAGTATACAGACACTCCAGGGCACAAACATGGTCTATATAATAATACTAGTTAGGTTGGTTTGCAATATGAAATTACATCGAGGATTTAAAACAAACCCAACAAATGAGGTTATAGATGCTGTTTAGCATCACCAAGACCCTGTATTCCCTAATGTAGGCCTAATATTTTAGAGTAGTAGCCTATATATAAAGTTATAAAATAAGTTACATATTTGAAACAGGGTATAGGACTAAAGGCTCTCTCATAATAATTATCATATATATCAGGTATGTTGAAATTTCAGTGTTTCATCAAAATAGACTTTCTTGTTATTTGAGAAAGTCCACCACGGAAACTAGGATCGTCATCCTATAATTTACACCAATCAAAATGAGGTTTTTGTTGTTATCAATGAAATTGAGCCGATGTTGATATTTTTTACAGATCTATCGTCCATTTTGATGTGACACTGAAGAGTTGGAGAACTTGTTATCACTTATCATATAATTATTTGTTTATTTAAACATTCAGTAACCATGGTAATCATTTGTAATAACCACGTTACGTGTATATTGGGGGAAAGGGGAGATTACTCATGTAAAATATTGTATAGAGGCCTGTTATATATATATATATTATATATATATATTATATATATATATACGTTATATAAAATGTTTTATTCATTGTATTCCGATTGTCTGTCGTTGGTTTTCACGGGCATGTTCAGGGATTTGAGAAGGAAGGGGGGGAGGTCAACGTCAAATTTGGCGTAAGGTTTAGGGGATTAGGGCCTACCCAAGAATTTGAGAAAATCAGACGATCTGAGACTCGAGAGAATATTTTGCCCCAGTAGACTCGCATGACCTCTGTGTACCTGGCATTACCTCTGTGTACCTGGCATTACCAGTAGACTATGCGATCAAACAACCGAAACAGATGTTGACAAAGGAATAATCCGGCAATTTACTTAGGCTTTGATATTTATAGTAATGGACAACTCCTAACGTCATGTGATACACAAGCCTGATTCTCGCGATGTGGGGTAGATTTCTTTGGATTAAAATCTTTTGAGAGGGGTTTGAATCAAATTTTTGATAGGTTGTGTCCAAATATATCATCAAATCACACAGTCTGTACGCAGGAAGGCATTAAAATATTATGTCCTGTTTAATGTATTGAAGCTATTGCCTACCAATGGTTGACAGGTTTGGGTTATTTAGCCATCGTGTATATAAATTCTGTCAATAACGCCAGAATATCGAGTTATCCAAAAATTAGCATCATTCGCTCGTTTCCCTACCCCAGCGTATTACTAGGAAACGAGGTACACGGTGAACAATCGTATCGTTATCAAGTCAATTAGGGTAACATTTCTGCAGATGACCAAGATAATTAAAGAACAGCCTGGTCAATTTCGAGGGCCAGTCTAGAACTTTATTAGAAAGGGCGTGTTTAAAGATGCTTCATGTAAAGAGGGGGGTTGGATGGCAGAATGGCTAGCACGCGCGCGCTGTATCATACGGTCAACTGCCGGAGTTTCGATTCCACGGTTGTACGTGACGAGGAGTAGGGTCGCCTGTCCAACCTCGTGGGTTTTTTCCGGGTTATCGGATGGCAGAGTTTTAAATGCTTTTGAACATCCGCCAGATTTAAAAATTTAACGATCCAAAGGATAGGCATTCCTCTGTATCTTATACTATCATTTTAACGGTTAAAGAGTATCCCCAAGTTAGTAGTATCATAGTCCGGCAGAACCTGGAAATTGTATACAAAGTTTTTTTTATGATTGATTTTAGTAGCCTAGGAGGGTGTCCTCTTTCAGAATCTGCCGGGTGAACTTCGGTCAACCTTGAGCGTTTTGAGAAGTTGGCGTCAAAGACAGACGCCACATCAAATAATCCCCTATAGCTCCCATAGTATTTATTTTAGGATGATAATTTTGGTGTCTAACCGTATGTTTCTGGGGTCAAGGAATACACTGAAATTTATTATGTTGTGATGTGATTAGATGACAGTAAAATCAAATATGCCAGACAATATGTCCCTTTAACTCGTTAGCAGCGGTTGAGGGCGATTATTTCACCGTACCAAACTATATCTAGAGACAAACTGTATATTTCTGGACAAAGGAGCGTATAAGTAATAGGATAACACCACATACATCCCTATCAGGGGCTTCAGGGCCACATGGGTGGGCTCTGAAAAGGGAGACACAGGCTGTTTGTTGAACATTTAAAAATAACAAATTCTTCCCACAAAACAGGAACATAACCTCCACAAAACTAAGTAATATCCAGTTTAATCCTTTAGTCGTGTTTCTGGCTACAGCCTGTGACAGCACAAGCGCAAAATATTGTATATTCTAAGCCATCCCTAGTGCAGATACAAGCACACGTACTTCATGAGCTGTCACTCTTGTATCCACATCTGATGAGCCACATGGCAGACTCTGGAGCAAGTTTACCGGTTGTAATATTTTCAATTTAGCCCAACTTGTGAGCCTATCAGATTCCTCGATCGTCGCGAATACCAAGTCAGCACGTAATCCTGCACGAAAAAAACCGAGGTGATGTATCAGCCAGCCCCTGGAAATCAGCACCTCGACCCGCAGATTGAAGTAGACGGACAAACTCTCCAATCCGTAGAGAAGTTCACCTACCTGGGCAGCATCCTCTCCAGCAGCGCCAACATCGATGATGAGATCAACAACAGAATCTCCAAGGCGAGCAGCGCATTCGGTAGACTGCGAGAGAAAGTCTGGGACCGGAGAGGTATCAGTCGCAAGACAAAGCTCAAGGTATACAAGTTGGGCTTGTGTTGTTCGTCCTTCGATTCGAAGATGACCATTTGACAATCACATCGTCATCATCAGTTATGGACCCGGAGATGGCTGGCGAGGCCGATCCGGGGGACTTGTTTGTGTTGTTCGAAGGTTTACGCACCTGCCGCTTCTGCCTGGCTAGGTGCGTTCGGCTGTCTTCTGCTGTCTTTGCCCCTCTGCAGATGGTTGAGCGCCACGAAAGGCGGTCCACAGCCGTCTGTTCCCATGTCTGTTTTGACAGCAAAATCTTTTAGAGACGCTTTCAGATTGTCCCGGAATCTCGTCTTCGGTCGGCCGACATTTCGTTTTCCTTGACAAAGCTCCCCGTAGAGGAGTTGTTTGGGGATTCTGTCATGGACATGCGGCACACGTGACCAGACCATCGCAGCTGTGCCTTGTGCAATGAAGTGGTTGCGCTGGGCATTTCGGCTTGTTCCAGGACATCCGTGTCAGGGATTTTATCTTGCCAGCGAATGTGGAGTAGGTTCCGGAGGCACTTGAGGTTGAAGCGTTCGATCTGCCATGTCTTCGATAGGTAGTCCAGGTCTCACAGCCGTATAATAGAGTGGTAAGGATAACCGCCCTGTATACCATAAGCTTTGTCTTGAGACTGATACCTCTCCGGTCCCAGACGTTCTCTCTCAGTCTACCGAATGCGCTGCTCGCCTTGGAGATTCTGTTGTTGATCTCATCATCGATGTTGGCGCTGCTGGAGAGGATGCTGCCCTGGTAGGTGAACTTCTCTACGGATTGGAGAGTTTGTCCGTCTACTTCAATCTGCGGGTCGAGGTGCTGATTTCCAGGGGCTGGCTGATACATCACCTCGGTTTTTTTCGTGCAGGATTTCGTGCTGACTTGGTATTCGCGACGATCGAGGAATCTGATAGGCTCACAAGTTGGGCTAAATTGAAAATATTACAACCGGTAAACTTGCTCCAGAGTCTGCCATGTGGCTCATCAGATGTGGATACAAGAGTGACAGCTCATGTAGTACGTGTGCTTGTATCAGCACTAGGGATGACTTAGAATATACAGTATTTTGCGCTTGTGCTGTCACAGGTTGCAGCCAGAAACACGACTAAAGGATTAAACTGGATATTACCTAGTTTTGTGGAGGTTATGTTCCTGTTAAGCGGGTAGAATTTGTTTTTTTAAATTTTCAACAATCAGCTTGTGCCCACCTTTTCAAGACTGACCCATGTGGCCCTGGAGCCCCTGATAGACATGTATATGGTGTTATCGTATCACTAATACGCTCCTATGTCCAGAAATATATAGTTTGTCTCTAGATATAGTTTGGTACGGTGAAATAATCGCCCTCAATTGTATTCCATAGAATTGTGAACTGTTTATTCCAGTTCAATTATTAAATGCATTGAAACAATTTAGTAAGTGAATAGACAGACTGTACAATTGTTGTCAACTTTCACGAGAATTTGCTTCCATTTGCCTTGACATTGACTTCTTTAAGTTCTTTGAGAGCTTCGCGTTCTCTTTTGGTGTGTGGTTGTTCGACGGTTTTAGGGATTTGGGGATGATATTGCAGATTTGGTGTCGACTGTAAACATAGAAGAAAACGAGTCCAGAAATAAACGTTCTTCGATTCACCGGCAACAAAAAGAAAAAACTATGTTCAGAGATTACCAGTGACATTTTTGACAGATTCTGCGTTCAAAACTCGAATATTAATGGGTTCGAGGTTACTTTGATTCCACCTCCTAGTAGCACAACAAGTTATAACCAAAATATTGCCGCTAAAGGAGGATTTTAATGCGTTTTCTTGATAAACAAAAAAGAAAAAAAACACAGATGCCAGTCGAAAGTACTACGCGATATCGCCATATTACACCGAATTCCCGGATGTCAACCGCCCGAATGTCAACCGAAACACGATGGAAGGGGCACCAATGAAAATCCGATGGAGGGCCCCGGAGGGCCCACCACTGCCACTAGCAGAAGTAGTTCTCGGTCCGACCATGCTCACAACGCTTTTCCTGCTAGTGAGATTTGTTGTGGAGGCCCCCTGATGTCGGAGACCCTGGGACCTGGGCCCCACCATACCCTGTTGTTAATCCAGACCTGGGTGGTATTGGTGAATGAATAAAGGTTATTATATATCTATTTAACAGTTGATGTCACAGTGGCCACAACTTATATAAAGTCGAAACGTATCTAAAGTACATTGCGCAATGGAAATATACAAATATTTTTATTTAAATTTTTGTAAACAAAATGTCGATATGCTGTTTTTTTTATGGTGTTCCATTTCAGCACCTTCACTCGTCGCCTTTTTTTAAAATAAAAGACCCATATACCACCCTGATCACAAAAGCTTAACTCAAACCGAGATGATATCATAAATATTTCCTTTTATTGAAATCAAACTGGAGTCACAAAAACTTCTTGGGACAGACCGTGATAAGGGGAACTTGTTTTAGACGGGATAAGAAAAAAAGCCGTAGTTATCTTTTAATTTTTTAAAGGTTCCTAAAATCTTCGTGGAATCGCTAAGACGACTGGTGTCAAGTTAGACAATAAACAAATTGTTTCGTATCTTAAATTTGCTACCGGGAATTAATCGAAACGCACAATAGTCTCGGTTGACTATATTTACTGTTCGAGACTATTGGCTTTTAGGGTTAAAGGGAAACAAATCTTTTTAATTTGTTTAGGAATTGACCGACTGACTTGTTTTAATTTGTTGTCAACCCATTCAATTAGCAAGCATGACGTCCAACGATGAATTACTATCCAGCATTGGTTTGGGCGATGACTAAGATCTCAGTACAATAACTAATCTTCCCTTCGCAAGAATTACAAATAGGCTAGTACTAGGCATTATTAATAAATTTCCGACCAATACGGAG